TGGGATATACTGCTCATGCGTTATAGAGTTATACAATCTCCATGTGGTATTATAAAGCGACTGCATTCAAGAATAGTCCAACATTTTGAAATTTAACATGAATATTGTGTAAGGCGAAAAAATTATAGCTTACATATAAAGTTCGAAGAATCCTATTAAACTGTGAGAGGATTATCTAGAAGCAATACCAAGCATTTGTTGTGTACTGTGATGTCTTGGAATCAAGAAAATTATAGGAAAATATACTCAAATGTGTTGAAAACCATATGCGCTGCATACAGAAGTGAGTATATGGTACTACACGTATGTGGCGCAAAAGTTTTGTCCAAATTAGTACTCATCATGTTTAGAATATGAGGGCATTTGCAGAGCAAATGTTTTCGGGGAACATTTCTGCTATGATGTTCTTCCAGCTAACGAATGAAATTATAAACCCCAAACTACATGTTCATTTCCGTTTGTAGGTTATTCAAAACATTATCTGAAAAATATAAAACATCATGCATTTAATTTGGTTTCCCTGCTGTAAACTGTAGAATTATCACTGCAGATCACATTATTTTCCCTGTCGTACTTGTACTGTTCGTCCAAAATTTTCTTTAGCTTCAGAGCTGCTACCTATAGCTTGAATATTTAAAAGCGACTGTGTTGGTCTGGAAACCAATAAAACGGTTTCCCTTTGGTTTTCGAGGAACGATTATTACAACCAAACACTTGGCAGTACACCATGTTTGATGTGTATTGCATATAACGCGCGTTCCGCGCGCTAAATCAGTTTTCTTTACGATACGTCACAAGTTGACAACCCGGAAGTTTATAAGGGAAATTTCGAAAAAAAATGGCAGCTTCTTTGGGGAGCAGACGACGTCGTAAATATGGTGAAGTAAGGTTTCTCTATTTTACTTGCAAGACGATATTATTAGGCCTACAACAATGCTTTTTATATCAAATGAAACGTTGTTTAACTCTTTATGTCATGATGCTTCGTAGTCGAGGGTAAATTCCCTTTTACCTTAAATAATTGTTTTCTTCTTCAAAAGATCATCAGTAGAGGATGGATCATCTAATTTTTCATTTGGACAAATCCTGGAGTGTCAAATGGAAATAGAACACGTGTAAGTTAGATAGTCAATTTTTTCTGCTTAAGTCCTGTTAATTTCCTAACCTTAAATAAAAACCTGTCAGTAGAATTCTGGTAGGTGATTATCCAAGGGGTTATTTATCATTGACGGCTATTATCCAGGGGGGGGGGTCCGGATAGGATGAAAATGGGAAGTGATGCATTATGTTCCATTTGCCAATTCGGATCCCTTCGTAGGCAATAAAAAGCACCCACTGGCATCATTTGGCAAATATTGGAGGAAATATTGTTTTATTCTCAAACTTAAATGTACTTTGTAAACTGATTTGATTACGAACAACTTGTCAGTATTTCGTTACTTGTATAATTCATTTGTTCTATTATATATTGTATTACTGTATGGTTTATATATGTCATTTAATTTGTGGATATTTGAGTGGAAAATAAATAAAATCAAATCAAATCAAATCAAGTATTAATCGAAAACCCAGAAAACAAGAGTTCTTAGCGGATCTCAACAGCCCTTTTCAAGGTTGTTATTCATTTGAAGAATAACATGATGTAAACCAAAAGACCAATCCTCTTATTGCAGTAAGTTGGTTGCTAAATTCTAGAATAAGATTGTTATATTATAGGCATCTTTGCATTATCAATAATTTTTGAGAGACAATTTTCATATATGAATTATAATAAACCAATAGAAGTTACAATTACTGAACTTAACATTGATTTAAGGTTATTTGCATTAGCCTTGTTGCCCTTATTTCTTGTGTATTTCCAGTAAGTTCTTTAAACTTATTGTGTTGGGTCATATGCAGTATTCTTAGAAGGAGCAACATCACTTCGTTGGCACAAGCGGCTTTCTCTGAAATGAAGAACCTAGTATTTTTGTGAGTTGTTATTATATCTACTTACATCAAATAATTAGAAAATCGACTGTAATCATTATGCTTCCTAATTCAATAAAAAAATACTTTGACTGAAATCAGATTTGTGTTTTGATTGTCATTTAAACGAAAAAAATCTCAGGGAAAAGCTCAAAACTTATTATTTGTAATGACCTTGTAAGGCAAAATCCGTATCATTATACAAATTATTTCTGGTGTGGACAAAAAGAACAAATGCAGATTCCAATTTTTACAACAGGTTATTTTTTATTATCATTATTATTATCAAACAATACTATTACCGATCCTTCTACCACTGCTACTACTAATAATAATTATTATTATTATCATTATTAATACAAATTAATTAAACCAAGATTGTATCATCTAAAGATGATATGAAATTAACCTAAACCACAGGATGTGGAGACTTTTATATTCTGGCGTTCCCGATACGCTGTTCTAAATGTTTTACTTGTACATCTACATGTATCTTAGGTTCCTTGATTCCAACATGATTGTAAGCGTTCCCGATGGAATCTTTGAAGGACCTGAGAATCTTGAATTTATGTAAGTTTCAAAAAATCGTTTCTTTTATTCAATTTTTTCGTCAGTGCTCATCTATCGCAACCAACGGGAAAATTACTTTGAAGATAAAAATTTAAGATGGCAAATAGACACAGCCGTTTTTTGTTTTGACTGATAATTATCATATCCATCTGTCATCATTGAGACAAATTAGACTATTTAACGTTGGAGAATCGTTGTGGAGATGTAGTTCTTCTTAAGGATAGAATCTAATGACTTATCACATTAAGCACAAGAAGAAGTGAATAATATACCTTGTAATCGATGTAAATAAATGATGCCTTGACCGACATTTATCAACTATAATGAATAGGCTAGTTTGTTTGATCTCTAGACGAAATTGTAATTATAACATTCTGAATGAATGCTATCTTTTTAATATCAGATAGCGTGTTTTATGAAAGTGCTGGGAAATGTGATGGAAACTGTTTAATCTGTTCAGGAATATTGATTTATTATCATTAAATATATCAATCCTAACCTTTTCTATAATCTATCACTCAGTGACATGTCATACAATCAAATCACGTCGATCTCTACCAAGCTGTTTTCCAACTTGCCAAAACTTCTAACGTTGTAAGTACCACATATACAAGCATGAAGGTGATATGAGAATGTTAAAATGACAGAAATTAAAGCAGTTTTTTTAAAGAGATCTGAGCAAGCATAATCTGGGCTTCGCGATCCAGCAACAAGAATTGTTTGATACTTCTGTAATTTACATTTTCAAATTTAAATCTTTATTTTCATGATTTCGGCCGATTGTATTCGATTTTGTTTCGGGAGGGGAGGGGGGGGGGCGTTTGAGGAGGACATAATGGTTAAAAACAATAAACACACCTGGCCTAATTCGTATTTTATGATGCTATATTAAATGTCAAATATTTCATTCTCTTTTGGGAGATGGGAGGGCTGTACTGTATAATGTATTGTAAATAATATAGAACATTTTTTCGCAGATCACTTGGAAATGTGTGCGTTGATTTGAATTGATAATCATTACATTGATAATATAAAGTACATTTTTATCTATAGCAAGTTCCATTTCCGACTTTGTATGTATTTTCAGATTTCTTTCCATTGTCTTCAGTTCATTTTATTGGTATGCACTACAACAAAAACCAAAACCAGTCTCGTTTAAGTGTTTAAGAAAACTCCAATCCATTTTCACCTGTTCCTTTCTTTCCTTTGTACTTATTCCAAAATTCCTCTAAATGCCCCATTAGCGTGTTATTTTGACAAAAGAATACACCAATAGCCTTCTCAGTAAGGCTGCCACATGGAGTAACCGAATGCATTACTTTCAGAATATTTTGTCATTGTTAGGAGCCTTGAGTACAACAATATAGTAGACATTTATAACGGAGCATTTCATGGACTGCCATCACTGGAGAATCTGTGAGTATTAACAGAATTGAAAGTTATTGACTCATTCAAATTGTAATTTGAATCGGAAATAGACTTAGGAATTTATTGACCCATCTGTTTCAAATATAATTTGCCTTATACTTATAACGAAATTATTTCATTCATAACATAGTAACACATACCAGCGAAATATACTTAAAGTAAACATGATGACATAACAAAATAACAGGGCATAAATGAAATTGAGTATAGTGATTTATAGCAATCAACAATTTATCCAAAGGACTAAGTGCACAATGTAACATGATTTCAAATTCAAGTAAAAATCCAGGGTTTGGGATAATATTTTCCGTCAATAATCTATAGAAAATTAGACAATACAACTAAATATGTCAGGTCCAATAGAGAGAACTTTAAAAGAATGTTTAACAAATTTTCAGGTTAATAATATCAAATTAAATGATCTTTCTCTTAAATGATTTATAATTACAACCAAATAAAGCACCAATCATGAAACCCAAACGAGAACAATTTATTCAAATTATGTGTGTTCAATTAACAAGAATATGTTTATTTGAAAAGATAATATAAAAATCAATTATCGGTTATTGCTTATTAATTATCGATTTAAGATGATGCTTGGAAATCTGTTCTTTGTATTTTTCTTTATATCAGTTATCTGAACAACAACAATATCACCATAATAACAGAAGATGTGTTCTCTGGCACTGTGGATGTTCTGTAAGTTTGTTTATCATTACATATCTTAATCATCGAATTCTACCCTTATGTTGCATAGTACCCAATTGAATGCCAGTGCAAAAAAAGAAACACTCTCCAGATTTTAATAAGTACATTAGCTCGATAGTGCTTATCTGTTCACACATACATGTTAATTAAATTTCAGAAATTATCATACACTGCTCTTTTCAATCAATTGTCTATTTTACAGAGGTTTTCAATTCATTACTACTTTTGCAAATGCTGTTATGGTGGAAAATAACACGGAAGCTTACGCTATAGTTATTCAGATGAATATTTCCACATTATGTAATTTCTTTTGTAGACACATAGAGAATAATCGGATACGTACAATCGAGAAGAGGTCCCTTTACGGTATGGATATCAATCGAGTGTAAGTATTCGATAACTTTTTTTCTTTGTCTGTCTTGTATCATAATAACAATCTTAATTTGGGATATCAATCAACTATATCTTTGTTCTAATGGTGATTGAAATCGATAAACTGAGTAATTGTGTATTAAATAAAATGTGCAGATAGCGAACTAAGAAGTAAAAGTTAAAGTTATATATCGACTAAATATAACGATTTATACAACTCACTCCCAGATCCTAATCAAATGATCGGTCATGCGCGGTCACGTGTGATTCATTTACTGAGCCTATTGTACTCGTTTTCATGAAAAAGAGTGCAATATTTTCCAGTACTATAAAACTCGTTTTCAGAGCGCAGTAGTGCGCGTAGAGGTTAGAGCGCTTAATACTGCGTGAGCATGAGCCTATTCTTGCGCAGCACTATGCGTAAATGGGTATAGAGGTAATTAGTGCGCTTGCTATATCTATAGCTATGTGTGTGCGCACTAAATTAAGCCTTATTAAACTTGAGATCTATTTGTCGGCCATGTACTGTCACGAAACAATCTTGAATGAATTCTTTATACATCAAATAACAAGGATCTAGGAGTTTCGTTGTATAAAACAAATGATGCATGTTTTCATTCGTTCATTATACGATCTATCCGCCCTTGTTGATGATGTGTGTATCTATCGCACTCGGCCTAACGGCTTCGTGCAATAGAGACACACAGCCTCAACTCGAGTGCGGATAGATCGTATAATGAACTCATGCGCATGCATCATTTGTTTAATGTCCATCATCGGAAAATATCGATGCTTTTTAAGCAACAGGTTTTATTTCCCATACTTTTTATTTTATTAACATAGGCGACTCCAGAACAACAACCTCGTTACATTGAGTGGAATATTTGACGGATTACCTGAACTGGAGAGATTGTAAGAATTTACAGTAAATAATTGATTCCTTTGATGAAATGTAAAATTCTTTATTACGTCACCTATCAGTTATCGCGACAATCGAAACAACTCTTCGCCATTAGCTGTAAATTTAATAACGTAATCAATACCGAAGTGATATATATTATTGTGAGAGATTGCTCTTTAAATCATTTGCCAGAAAAAAGAAAAGAAAAAAAAAAAATTCGTAACGAGTAAAGAAAATAATGAACAATATTAAAAAACAAGCTATTGTTATTCATTCTACTACTACTACTACTACTAATACTACTTCTACTAAATGTACTATTACTACTACTACTACTACTACTACTACCACTAATACTACTACTACTACTACTACTTCTACTTCTACTAAAGAGGGTAATAATACTTTAACCTCGGCAGTACATTTTTTTGTCGTTGTCTTGGTTTGTTGGCGAATGATCCATAAAATAGTTCACCCTGCCACGCCACCGACTGTATAATAACAGACTTTTCTTAATCATATTTTAGGAACCTCTCCAGCAATGACATCAAACACATAGATGAAGGTGACTTCCAGGACCAAATTAACCTCTTAATTCTGTAAGTCGTGAATTTTTAACATTTAAATTTCAGCGCCCTTTGCCCATTTTGTTCCTTTTTTTCGAAATTTTAAAGGAGAACTATTAACCCCCAAGAATAAATTTAGTTGTTTTGAGAGATTTGTTGTATTCTTGCCCATCAATCTACAGGTTTCCCCACCAAAGTGTATGAAAAAGGCATGAAGCAAGAATAATTAAAGTACAGTTTCTCAGCAAGACATTGGCATTGCCATTTTCTTGATTGCATGGCGTACTATGCGGAGTCATATATCAACTTAATGTATTTACATTAAGGATGCTTCCTTCCAAAGTGTTTGTGGGGTTGAAGCATTTCATTCACCTGCTATTATCCCTTGTACTCCAATTCGCCAGAAAGCAAATTGAATAAATAAGTTGGTATTGTTTTGTGGTGAGGTTATCGCATTAATGAAATAGATGTTTCAACCGCTATATTTGCGATTTGTAAATAAATTGATTACAATTGTTACCCTGTTATACATTTTTCACTTAATGTAATTTGTTTACCTTCTCGGCAAAGACTTTCCCTCATTGAAAAGTACAGGTTTTGTTATTGAATTAAATAATCTTTGCAATTAAAGCTTGTTGCATGATACATGTACAACTCCGTCTGGTACGTCACATTTCCAAGAAAATGGCTACGTGCATGTCATGCCAAAAGGCATTACATCATGTCAACAAATCTTTATTCATATATATCCTGTATACTTTCGTGAGAGTTATTGTATATACAAAAAAAGGAATTCATCTCGTTTTTCAGAATACCAACGCTTCTTCATTGGGGTTAGTTCACTTTTAATGACCTTTAAAAGACGTAAAATCTGTGGGTAGATTTGAGACGAAAATGTGTAGCGTTCATGGCCAAATAAAGCTCTCTTAATGAATTATTGACAAATAATTGATACAAATTTATTAGTAAATTGGGAGACTATTTTTGATAAGATTAAGGTTGGAAAATCTTTCCTTTACCAACTCGATCACATTATTCCTGGGGTCAGACATATGAGGTAAATATCAAATTTTTTTCTCAAATTACCTCGCAGTTCTTTTGGTATATTAAAGGTAAATGCCTATGTTTTGAACACTTAATCGAATTGTTATCATTAGAGTTGGAATAATAATATTGTAGTATAACAATATCTTTTGTCATTACAATTAAAAGAAGTGAATATGATATCATTTGAGATATAGAAACAACTCTTAAAATCATATTTCAATGAATATTTATTTCAGTGATTTGAGCGTCAATCCAATCACTCGCATCGATCCTGGCGTATTCGTTTACACCATACGTCTGGAGTATATGTAAGTACAAGAATAATGATAGCTTTCTGTTCTATGACAAAAGGTAATTTAATAACGTTATATACATTATGGTAACAGTATAGATGGTTAGAGTGTACGCAGTATATATTATATAATTTGCTTTATAAGTGTATTTAACCCCGTATGATATTTATGTATATATATATATATGTATGTACATACAGTATATAATAGTATGTTCTTACGCGCATCATTCATACTCTTCCTCGAAATAAGGTAAAAGTTTGTTGATATTTTACTCAGGGGTCAAACGTTCATATATATATATATATATTTATATATAAACAGCATAACTGATGATAAAACTATGAAATATTGAATTTAAATTCAAATTATATTTAACTTGTTAACAATCTAAAACTTGACACTGTGTAATTATTTGCCTCATCGTAAACAGTTTCCTTCTGGATTTACAACTACAATCAATCCGAGGAAACGTACTGACTGGCCTAACATCTTTGAAAGCCATGTATGTATATCTTTATTTATATATGTATCCCATCGCCATTTTGATGATGTCTTAAGTAGCTCACTTTGGTCAAAACCAAATATATAATAATGCCTGGTATGTAAGTTCTTTTAGAAATTTGCTATTTAGTTCTTTTAGAATCAATAGCTGATTTCATTTTTAGATAATTAACACGGAAATTAGATATTTGGCACATCTAAAGGGAAATAGCCTCTATAAAAAAACACATCTTCGCTTCTCCTTCAGATCCACTTCTGATAACAGGCTGTGTTGTCTTCTTGATCAAAGAGAAAACGTCACTTGCGCTAGGACGTCTCCTACAAGTCCTCTGGAAACCTGTGGCAGGCTTTATCCGAACGTTGTCTTAATGATCGCCGGCTGGGTCATAGGACTTACATCTCTCATCGGAAACCTGACTGTCCTGGTACTACGCCTTCGCCAGGAGCAGCAGCTCACCGTCCAAACTCTCTTAATCATGAACTTAGCCGTGGCAGACTGTCTCATGGGTATCTATATGATAATCATCACATCAGCAGATATCTATTTCGGCAGTATTTATTTCTTGAGTGCACCAATTTGGCGCGAATCGCATTTATGCACATTTTCAAGTTTCCTCGCTTTTTTGTCAAGCGAATGTTCTGTTTTTACATTGGCATTAATGACGGTCGATCGATTCGTCTGTATTATATTTCCTTTCAGTGGGTACCGTTTGACTGTGAAATCAGCCAGAATTAGCATGATGTTATTATGGTTAGTCATTTGCATGCTCAGTGTCATACCCAATTTGGTTCCAGCGGATTTGCCCGGGTTTTACGGACTTTCCGATGTTTGTGTTGGTTTGCCACTACACGCCGAGTCTAAAGAGATAGGAAGGCTTGTGTTTACAGAGGACTTTTTAAGTAGCGGATTCCTAATTGAGTATGTAGTTGTCGAGAGCACTTTTCGTCCATCCTGGCTCTACGCCGTTGCAACATTTATCGGCGTTAACATGATTCTATTCATTATTATCTTAATATGCTATATAATGATGTTCATACAGGTAAAGAGATCTACCCAATCTGTAGCGAATGTTGCTTTACGTAATCGAGAAATCAAAGTTGCTAGAAAAATGGCGTTTATCGTTGGAACTGATTTCGCCTGCTGGATGCCCATCATAGTTATGGGTATTCTTACTCAATCCGGTCTGGTTGTCCTACCGACATCCCTGTATGCTTGGAGTGTGATATTCATCATCCCTATAAACTCATCAATTAATCCTGTACTGTACACGTTCGTTAATTATATTGAAAACAAGAAAAAGGCTGAACAAGTTAGAACGAAATCGAAAGTGGATGGTATGACAGCAAAAAGAGCGAGTGTGAATGACATTTCCTTGACCTAACTCAACAATGGTGGTCATCTTTAAAATGAAGTTAGGATATTGACCACGGTAATGACGCATTTTGAAAGTACTAACGGTGAATTAAAGGGAAAAAAGAATAGTAGATTCTTTGTAAATATATTTGATCATATTTCCTGTAGTCATTATCGTAATGGACATTATGGAATAATTCAAAAAGTCAATACATTCAAAACTTGATTTAGCTAAGGATAAGAAACACAATAATGGTAAACAAGAGATACAAAATACTTGTCCTAACTGCCAGTTTTATATCATGTAGATTAATACATTGTTTTGTTTGTTTTGTTATTGTATCACTGTGCTAAATTATTGTTAGCATTATCAAGTGTTGAATAAACTCTAGAAGCGCATTTCCGATTATCGTGCTGTTATATTTCTTGATACCGAATAAATCTATTAAGACTTCTAATCATATAATATCCATGGGACAACTATTATGGATACACTATGATATGCATTTTATATTTCCATAAATAAGAGGGAAAGTGATACCCTGCTTTTCGTTTGTATATTTTGGAATGTGTACCGTATATGAATGATTATTATGAAAGCTTTAAAGCCCTGAATATTTCAAAGCACCTTTATTAATTCAATGTACAATTTAAAAAACTGGTGTATAAGGAAACAAACAAAAACATGTACGCTTTTGAAATTGATTCTTCAATGTTTAACAACACTTCGTTTTTTGTTAAATTGTGCGTACTTTTAATTGCTATACTTTTTATTGTAAAATATTCTTTGTGGCATTATGAAAAATAGTGTACATCAAAAATAAGAAGTGCAACCAAATAATTTTTCAGTACGTTTTTTCTGTTCCTATAATGATGATCACTTATTTATCATTTGTTGTAAAAAGGAAAAATCAAGTATATGTATCCAATCTTTAAAACAAGCTAGTTTTGTAAGCCCTTTTCATTAAAAAAAAATAGCAGTTTGTGCAAGATACACTGCGATCACTACTGGGAATTAACAATAATTAAATCATAGCAGTTCACAGTATTTTTAAGGTCTAAATACATGACTTTTTCATTCTTAAATTTGTTCTTGATATTTTTATGAACCAATCGTAAATGGTAAACAAATAAAAAAGTATTTTAAAACTGCTGTGAATGTATATTACTAGATTCAACTAAAAATTACAAATTGTGCACAAAATAGTGATTATAAATTTCAGGACGCATTGCCAATTTAGAGACTGCATTGATCACGTAATTAAATCGTTCTCATTCCTGAATGTCACAATTTTCTGCATTAGAAAAGGTCCACAATTTGCTGTGATTTTTTTGTTCTTTTGTTTCTGTACAGTGTATAATTCCTAGAATCCTGGATCAAAAGATATTTTGTGTTTAGTCACTAAACGGTGATAGTTTGAAAATGCTATGAGTATGAGTTAGGGGCAGTTGAAGACAAGATCATATTTCAAACGTTACACACACAGTACATCAAAGGTTAATCAGAATAGTTATGTTCTATTTACAAGTTTGAGTGATAACAAACTTAAACCAGAAAGAGTTTTTTGAATTTTTAACTTTTATTCTTTTTTCTTTACAAATTGAGTAATTGATTGTCAGAGTTAACGAATACTTTAAACCTATATACATGTGAGATATATATATATATATATATATTTTTTTTTTTTTTCATTTGAAACACATACAAAAATATATATTCAAGGTAATTTACATAATAACATAAATAAAATAAAATTGGCTTTTCAAGATACAAGTATTGATGAACTGTTGAGTTAACACAAAATAACAAATCAATAATTCATTTCTAACACTCATGGAAAGAAAAACAAATACAGAAAAAATATCATTTTAAGTAAACAAATTCCTGAATTGAAACCATTTTCTTGTGAATTTATTATTTCTACAATTCGAATTTGCAATATACTTTTCGTTCTTGAAGTAATTTATAATCGAAACTCTAATATTATCAAAGTCGGGCAATTGTTTCTTTATTTTGCAAGTATACACCATCTGTCGCACCACAATCAGTATACAATTCAATGCATAATTATTTGAACCTTTTAAACCAAATAATTTATCTTGCAATGAAAATGTTAATTTATTTCCGGTTCCAGTATTAATCCAGTGTTCTAACTTACCTCAAATATTTTTAACATGCGTACAGTCACATAGCAGATGTATAACTGTTTCAATCTGTTCATTACAAAATGTACATTCTTTTCTTGGGACTAAATTCATTTTAAACAGTAGATCGTTCGTATATAATATGCGTTGCAAGACTTTAAACTGAAACCATCGTAAGCCCACATCAATAGTACAATTAAATCCAATAGAACAATATGTTTCCCAACTCTTATCATTCAGGTCAAAAATACATTTCCATTTAAGAAAACTTTTACATTGTCCTTTTCTTCTTTTTAATAAAATTGCATAGATATGTGAACATCCTTTAATACGTTTCATAACAAATGCCATTGTATCTGGGAAAAGAGGTTGTGGCACCTTCTTAAAAATAGTACAATTGTTAAACCCTTGTCTAATTGCATCGCATAATCCACGATAAAAAAGAAAATTTATTTGAATATTATACTTTTCTTGAAAGTGTTCCAGAGAGAAAAAATCACCATTTGTGTCTAAAATATCGTTAACAAAACGAACTCCCTTTTGACACAATTTTTTATTATATATTGAGCTATTGCCTATTTTAATGTAATCATTAATCCATAAGGGTTGGCAAGAAATGTTATCATAATGCATGGACAAGAGCGTACTATAAGCCATGAACATTTCTTTCCAAAAAATGTTCTTTGTTTTACCTGCCAGTTCCCGAAAATAATTGTTTCCCATATATAATTTTAAATCTTGCCGTTCAGGCAAGAAAGATTGCAAAAGACAGAGGATATTGCTATCTATTGAGCCAATTACTAATCTCTTAATCCAGGATATTTTTAATGATTGGCAATGTGTGTATATATCTATCATTTTAACCCCTCCGTCTGAGTAACTTTGTGACATTTGATTTCTACTTATTTTATCAGGTTTCTCCCCCCATATAAATCTATAAAAGTGAGCATTTATATCTTTCAAAAGATTTTCACCAGGATTAGGGAGGGACAAAAAAAGGTAGTTTAATTTGGATACCAACAATGACTTGACAACAGTGATTCTTCCAAGAACAGTTAAGTATCGTCTTAACCACGATGTCATTTGACTTTTTATTTCTTTAAATTTTTCATTATAATTGTGAATTATCAATTTGGGCAAATCCGTACAAAAGTCTATACCTAAATATCTGAAATAATCATCAAACGCCCAATTTAGATTTCTATTCAAAAGAACACCATCTTTCTTGTTTTTAAATCCTCCAATCCAAATCGCATGTGTCTTCTGTATATTAACTTTTAAACCAGACATTGCATTATATTTATCTAAAATGTTTAATGCACTGTTTAATTCCATTACTGACCCGTTCAATGTTAGAAGAGTATCATCTGCATATTGAATTATTTTAAGTTGTCTACCAGGTAAGCTCAAACCAACAATGGAATCGGAATTTCTAAACAAGAGACCTAGTATTTCGGCGCATAACAGAAAGATAAGAGCTGACATGGGATCTCCTTGACGACAACCTCGCTCTATTGAAAATCTTGGAGACAGGTGTCCATTGATTAATACACAGGATTGAGCATTTTCATAGAATACATTAACCCATTTTACAATAGAGGGACCAAACTTGAAGAAGTGCAATACTTTTCTAATGAAATCATGAGAAATAGAATCAAATGCTTTTTCAAAATCTATAAGCAGCAATAAACCAGGAATGTCATTGATATCAGTATACAATAATAAATCATATAACAAACGGATATTCTCTCCAATGAAGCGCCCTGGCATAAAGCCTTTCTGGTTTTCATGTATAAGAAAAGGAAGTACGTTCTTTAATCTGTTTGCTATACAAGAGGAACCTAATTTATACACCACGTTCAATAAAGATATGGGTCTCCTCAGCTACAAAATGTGTATCTTGCAAGCAACATATTTGGAACTTTTTTAACTTAACAAATTCTAAAACATCATTTCTTTTTTCGCGATTTCCCAAACCTCGACAGTTCAAAGAAATTATATTGAAACTAGCCATTGAATATTAACTTTACCTCGGTACTATGAAAATCAAATCCTGTGGAGTTTTTATTTTGTAACATTAAACAAATAACACTGACAGCACTAAGCACTAGTCCACCGAAACAGCTTACACTGCAACACCTATGACAATTACAGCGATGTCTAGCACAAACGAAACTACAATACAAAAACACATATGTCTCTGTTAGCGAGACAAGACGCAATACCAAGAAAGCCACAGGTGACCACATATTTGCTGTGGATCCCCGAAACCCCACCAATCCAACTAAGAGGGGAAAATGTATCGAACGTTTCTCCCTTGAAAAGAAGGCACGCCGGCTTAAATCACACACATTCCTGCTTATTGTATGATAACTTTTGTCATGTCCGGGAAATGTATACACTTAATTATTTTACATATTTACAAATGTGCGACCTCCTATGATTCACACGGATAACCTGAACACAAACTCCCCTTTCACAGAAGAGGTCAAATATAATAAAAAAAAGATCGATAGCTTGACCGTAGTACTTTTGCGGAAACGACTAGCCCTTGATAATAGTCTTAATTCGTATCATACTTGTATATACATTGCTATGTGATATTCCTTTAACCTGGCTTTGGATAACAAGATATAAAAACAAAGATAATTAAAATATTAACCTCCATATTAGGATTTATCATGATTATCAACGTATTTAAAATTATACAGTGGAACTGCTTGTGAGAATTAAAGAACAAGAAAACTGTATGATCTCTTGCTTTCACAAGTCTCACATCAATATATCTTTATATATATATATATATATATATATATATATATATATATATATATATATATATAAAGATACATAACTGCATTCCGGCAGTACATATACATTCTTAAAACCATATGATATTGCAGAGTTGAGAAAGTGGGTGCGCGCTCACGTGTGCGTGTGTGTGTATGCGTGCGTGTGTGTGTGTGTGTGTGTGTGTCAGAGAGAGAAATGGAAGTGAGAACGTCAGTTAAGGAAAATATATTTAGAGAGAAGGAGATAAGGAGAGAAAGAGAGAATAGAGAAATATGACTGCCTTTTTCACCCAAACATACCAATTCATCCACACTGATTTTTTTTGTAGACGTTTGAAGGCTCTGAAAAATAATCCTCCCTTTATGTTTTGCTCTTGTAAATATCATACCATACAAGACCTATGAAAATGATGTTCTGCCAGCAATGGCATAAATTTGACTGTTTGAGAAAATTATGTTTTTCCTGTAAAATGGACCTTCGGCTTTTAATCGCGTGTGGCGGGACACAAAATTGCACATGGACAAACAGATATAAGTGTAAAGTGGCACTTCTTGAGCTGAAGGAGACAAGAATGGAAATATTGGTATGTGCAAAAAAAGCACCGAGAGTTTTGTATATAGGCAAATTTTCACCGAAATTTACGCTCGATATTACATGCTGAAGTATAAATTTGGTTCAGAGAAAGAGAAACAACTCTCAAACTATATCACAGCATTAACTTTTATCATGAAAGTAGATTACTTCAAAAGACAACCGACATTATTTGAGGAAATGGAGGCGCTTTTTTTTTGGGGGGGGGGCGAGGTTTATTTTGCCTTGGAAACGACTTGACATGTTATTGTTATTGAATACCAGAAACGTGGATCATAATGTGACAAATCTTTATTTTGACTGGGAATAGTATAATAGACTGATAAACAGGAAAATGCCCGCCTTATCTAAATTATTCTAGACTACATTTCCACCTCTCTCTCTCCCTTTCTATCTCTCCCTTTCTCTCTCTCTCTCTCTCTCTCTCTAATTATAATATATACATATACATGTATATATGCCGACAAAGTAATACTCATCGCCGGATTTCTAAAACTTTCTACCGCCGACTTAAATTTTCTTTTTCTTCGTTTTATAAATTTCAAACATTAATATAAAGTTGTATCTCTTTAATTTTTCCTATTCCAAGTTCCACCTAATTTTAATCCCTTGTGCACGTACTTAAATTATCTTTTGTGTTAGTTTGTCGATTACTTCATCTATTTTTATTTAACTTCAGCCGACAGAAAGGCGTTTTTATAAACATCGAGAATCAGATATGAACAAATTACACTTTAAAAAGCTCGCGTCAAAAAGTCCATTATATAATTTTTTAATGGGTGTGTTTGTGTAGCAGAAATAAAACTACTAAGCATGACAAAATGCAAATAAATCGTCCTAATATCAACGTGATTTCTGTTGATTTCTCACGATCCTGACGCACGAATTGGGTTAACGTTTCGTGGGTTAAAGTCTTCAATCCCAATTAAGCACGGTCCGATTTCAGCACTCCCACTGGTTATACTTTTTCTTTCTTTCTTTCATTTCAGTTTCCTTTGCTTTAAATTCTTCAAACAATAATTTAGCAAACCCATTGGGCGTTTAATGCAACGTACCAAATCACAACGAGTGAGTTTAATCATTCAAATATTGCAGTAACAAACTTATTAGAACATGTCAATCTCGGATCTCCCTGTTTCGATCTCGCTGTTTCAATTTTTTTACTTTATTGCTTCATGCAACAAATGTTAACCCTACCGATCCCATTTGTTAATGTTAATGCCATATTCTATTAGTTTACAGCGACTAGTTTTATTCATGTATTATTTTGACAAACTAAATGTAGCATCACGACTTCCTTTTTGCATTAATTCCAATATTCTCTTCTCTAGTTAATTCAAATAAGAGATGACACAATTTCTTTTTAATTGTAATAGTATGATTTGTTAAAATAGAGCAAATAAGTTTATTCAGTGAAATATGAATGATTATTTTGTATAGCTATGTAATAATTTATTAAATTATACATTGAGTTGATGTATACATTCATACACTTATTGAACTAAGTAGAACCTGACAATCTCCGATCATTTTAAATCCAAATATCTTGTAGGCCTATACTTCACTCGTATATAAAAAGTCTTTACAAAACTCCAACCTGCATTTAATTTTAATTGCATAATCCGTTAAAATATAGCGAGTTTGTTTAGTCATATGCGAGATTAACAAACTAGAATATGACAATCAATGTGACGTACAACCTCCGGTATCTTTTCTGACGCTTTCACTCTCCTCTTCCAATTGTATTTACAATAGCTGTTGTTCTTTTTTCATCTATTTGTTCTTCCTCTTATTTCTTCTCTCGATTTGATTCTGCAATTTTTTTCCCCTATTTTTTCTCTCCCTTTCTCTCTTGTCTCAAAGTCTGTTTTGCATTCTTCAACTCATCATAATAATTTCATCTTTTCATTTGTTATCCTCACAGAATCCCGCGTTTGATTTTTGCGTGTGAGGGGGGGGGGGGGAGTTACATGTGTACGGTGATGGGGGAGAAAATGGGATTCTACAGATCTGAATCTATCAAATCGGAATGCCTGGGGACCAACCTTTAATGAATCATTCAAAAGGCGCGATCCAGTTTCGTACCGGCGTCCGTGAAAGGCCTTTTCGAGAGAAGACAAAGAGCTGACCGTACCGCCAGACCTAAATACCACCCCTCCCCATTTCTGTGTGGGGTTTCTTAAAAACTGAAGTCAACATCAATCTTAATTTATAATCTTTAATCCACTGACAACGTAACTAGTATACGTAATTGACGTGGATGAATAGCTTCAACATCTCGACGACTCCGTTCTTTGCGCCATCTCTTTCGTTGAACACGCTTTATAGCACACCTTTTTAGCGGGTTATTAAGTAAACATCTTTATTGGCCCTCGTACTAAGCTTGTTAATAGTGCTCACGTCAAAACTGTCATTTGACGGATGACTTAATTTTGTTGTGAAACAGCATTGTTGTGAAAAAGATGGAAATACGTCCCACTCGGTGTACTGTCACGATTCCACAGCCAATATTGCATATAAACGAGCTTCTTCCGTTCTTTTAAAGACAGTTTGGAAGTTGGAAATGACCATTAGAAGTGACCATGAATCTTCGTAAGACCATCTCATTTTCATTCATTTGCGCAACAATATTGCTTTGCCTTTGCAGATACAGAGTAAAGGCGTCTTCATCTAATGGAAATGTGTCTGTTGGTAAGTTTTTATCTCAGAATTTTAGTGTTGACCGACATTTTTTATAATAAACAAAATGAAAGCTCATGATTCTTATTATTTGGTACTAGATATACAGGAGAGCATGTCGATGATTACTTTCTTGGATTGTTTCATCAAAGTCTTTTCATTTTCTGCTGCAGAAAGGAATGTCCGTCTTGTTGACTTTTACGACAAGAACCAGGTCTCTAAAGGATTTGTTCTTGTCTACATCAACGGAACTTGGGGAACCATCTGCAACCAGGCCTGGGGTCGAGCAGACTCTGAGGTAACGTGCTTCGAACTTGGGTTCAGTGGAGCAGTGCTTACCGACCACGGAAGCTATAAACCCCATCCTGACAATATTCTGTATGATGTCCGATGTGTTGGGAACGAGACGTCTATTTTAGATTGCCCGAGTAGTGATGTCGATGAAGGGGGAGACTGTTGGGCACCATCGAAAGCCTACGCTTTTTGCACCAATTATACAAGTAAGTCAATTTTTAACCCATGTTGCGTAATCTTTACACTATATCCTCCGTCATGAAAGAGATAAGAATTATCTTTTTTTATTTTTTTATTGCAAAAGGATATTCATAAAATCAATTGAGTGATTTGTTATAAAACACATCTTCCTCAAGATGATCTATTGTTTCGTGGTAATTATCAATATTCATCATATCAAGGATTAGAAATATACAATAGAAAATCATTGCCCAATCCGAATAGAAATTGACACAAGTCACTAATTTCATTCTAGCTGGAGATCCCAGTGGTAATTAACATAGTAAATTGCGGAAGCTTAAACGTCAATTTGTTTAGGACGAGATGAAAAGATGAAACTCTTTTCATAACAGCTTAGTATCATCTTTTAGTGACGTTTTGTTTATTTATTTTTTTAAATCCAGAATGATCTAAATTACAATTTGTACATAAGCAAAAAGTGCTCACTAGACCGTGGATCAAGGAAAATTTGTGGAAAAATTCGTTTTTGTCGTTCATGAATAATAGTGTAAATAATTATTGAAGTATCTAAATTTCAAACGCAAGTTGAACTCCTGATCAATATGTGTGTATATCAATAGGCATTATCTCGTTTATCTCTTTGTAACTTTCATTCACATTGTTTCATTTCTTAAGCTATAAAAAAGTGGAAAATAAAAATTTGTTATTTCAACTTTAGGACGAAAGCTAATTCATCTAGACCTTGAGAAAAATCTGAACTGATAATGGTCTTCTCGTGCTAATACCTAATGCCTATAGATTACATTTGGCCTGCGATTAGTCATAGGAGCATGTATCCAGCCAGTATCCCCTTTCTGTGCGGCCTCCTCGCGGAGGCAAGAGGCGGCCGTGAGAAGTTCGTACTGATTCACGGGCACGGCGGCCTCTACGGTTTTGTTTCGCGGGAATTTAAACAAATTAAAAAAAGTCGTAAGCCCGTAGCCCAAAGACATGTCATATGTGGCATTGCACGCTCCCCGCACGGGCATCGCGCGGACGCCTCGCACTGATCGTGCAGCAAACGCACGAATTTTCGGTGAGCATGGGGGCAAAAATGGCTCAAAAAAGGCACGGCGGCTACACGATCACCGCGCTTTCTAGCGCAACCTCTGTACGTAAGCTGTACGGGCTCCAAGCGATTTCAATGCGGATATTGCATGGCAGTATAAGAAATGGCAGGACGTTAGTAGATGTTAACACAAACATCGTAGCCTGTAGCCTCCTTCGATGCCCGAAAAATCGTAGACCAATTTACCGTACGGCGCCCGGGGCAAATGTAATCTAGGCATTGATGCCTAGGTTACATTTGCTCTAAGGCTAGGATACGACGGCCGAACGCCCCCGAAATCGAGAAATACTTGCCGCGGCCGCCAATAATCTGCGGTGGGCTGATGGTCACCCAAGTGGGTAACCCTTTCTTTACAAGCGTAGTTATAGCTGTTTTCATTTCTAGGCGCGCCGTTGCGATTAGACACGCCGTAGCCATGTCGTATAGCCGTTCCACAGCGACCGTACGTCGGGCATACGGCAGCCTTGCGTTTTGTATGTTCCAGGGGTGAAGCGGTAGCATCAGTATGGCCGCACGGTCGCCGTCTGGCCCCCCGTTGCCGTCTTGCGGGCACTTTGCGGCTACCTTGCGTCTGCATTAGTATTTGTCAAAAAGCTGCGGCCGCCGCAGGGACGCCCTATAAGGCGACCGTGCGTCATCACTTCAAAGGCCGTACGACAGTCGCAGATTTTCGGTCTCCAAAAATTAAAAATACGCCGTGTGGCTACCCTAACATAATTATGTGACCGCTACCGTATGTGACCGTGCGAATGCTGCAGTGGTCCTATACTTGATATTGGCCGTAGATATTGACCGCACAGCCGCTGCAGCAAATGTGATCTAGGCATTACCGTGGCGGCCGTGCGGTCTAAACTATCTACGGCAAAATAAAAATCCGCGCAGTCTCCGCAGCCTCCGCACGGAAATTTTACTAAGCCTGTGCAGCTTCCATGCAGAGTTTGCGCGGAGAAGGTGCGGTGACCGTGCAGCTGCCGTTTTTTTGCCCCCACGTTCACCGAAATTCGTGCGTTTGCTGCACGATCAGAGCGTGCCCTCCGTCCAATGCCTGAGCGGGGATTGTGCAATGCCACCTACGACATGTCTACGGGCTACGGACTTTTCAATTTGTAAAACAAATCGAAAGGGTCACGGACCCCGTGAACCCGTACGCATATCTTACGGCCGCCTCCTGCCTCCGCACGGAGGCCGCATGGATAAGGGGATACTGGCAGGATACGGGCTCCGTAGACTGACTGCAGGCCAAATGTAATGTAGGCATAAGTTATCCGTCATCTTGTCGACACTTTTAAGCTTCCATGATTAATGCCCCAGTCAGACAGAAGAAAATCATACCAGACCAATAATAGCTCGATCAAAATTTGCATTACTACAAATATGATGTCAATCGGTTTAAAATGGGAATAACAAGCAAATGAAAAATGAAAATCGTTTTCAGGCTATTTAAATCTTTCCTGACAATGATTTATATCTGTTTTAAAGTTCGCCTGACAGAAGCCCACTTTCCCGGTGGAGGCAGGGTAGAGGTGTTCTACCTAGGATCTTGGAGACCAGTTTGCAGTGACCATTGGGATCTTAGCGGTGGACACGTTGCTTGCGGAGAACTGGGACTTGGTACAGCACTAGACGTCGACCATAGTTTCATTTCTTTAGAGGAAATGGAAGGTTATATTTTGAATGATGTGAGATGTAATGGAAGTGAATCTAGGATATTGGACTGTCTAGGATCCACTTTCAGCATTGGTAAATGTAACTCTACCCGCAGCGCCAGAGTTCGATGCTCAGATGGAGGTGAGTTGTCGTTCTGCGGGTGTAATACTGGCAAAGAATGTTATACGTTGGTACGGTGTGTAAAATTTGCACTTTAATATTGGTCCGCCGAAGGGATATATATTTTCATGATAAGGGAAAATATAACTCACACATTGCGAACAGTGATTAACTGAGTATGCGCAGGGTCGTACTCACTTGACTACGTAAACAATATAATTATAATCATCAAAATACGACCGGGAGTGAAATATTCTAATTTTGATCCTCGCAATCGATATTACTTGATGAGATTTGACTCGAGCCAATTACACCTTTGTATTTATACGAGCTATTTAAATAAATATTCCGGTTTTTCCAGTTCATCACAACAAATATTCTTTAAACAGACCAACCAAAAATGATCCCGTTACACTGAATAGTAAAACAATCTGTCAGTTAATTTCGAGTCGGTTGTCCGTCTGGCGGTGTGACTGAGGTATAGTATGTTACCAATACAACCCATCAAATGACGTGTAAAGTAATGGAGATCGAACATATAGTAAAATCATTATTTACGAATCACCATTTTCTTAGAGATCATTTTCTGATATGGAAAATGCACTAAATATTGTAAACAGGCAGCGTGGGTCGCAGTCGTAGATGTTATTATTTTCGTTCTGGTAATTTTTGTGGGACTATTTTTTTTAAAATTATTTACAATTAAGAGTACAAGAACTATACAAGTGGGAGTGATTATATGATGGGGACGTCTCTCTCAATACTTTCGAATTACAATTTGTTTTCTTTATTTTGATTATCATCAATATTAATGGTACGTTTTTTTTTTCATTTTCATTTCATGTTCTTTATTTGTTTAGAATTGAACAGCCCATATTCTGTATTACATTATCAAAAAATATGAATTAAAATGTCAGAAACAGCTCCATTTCGTTAATCACTGTACTATTAAAACTAAAGAAAACTTCTAAAGTTTGCTACCGATTTCTTGTTCTCATCCAAGTTCGTCTGGTCGGCGGCAGAAATAGCAGCGAAGGAAGAGTAGAATTTTTCTCCAAATCAACCTGGGGTACTGTTTGTGCTGAATCTTGGACCTTGAATGATGCGCATGTCGTATGCAAGAGTTTAGGGTTCGCCGGTGCATTAAAAGCTTTTACTGAGCTTGAATTCGGCTATGGTTCAAACAATGTATATCTTGAGGATGCCCGTTGCACTGGGCGGGAAACAAATATCCTAAACTGTCCGAATGCACAGTTTGGAGTAATAGACTTCTGCTTTTTCGGTAACGATGGTGCTGGTGTTTTATGCTCTTCTGAAGGTAATTAGTTTGTCCTTGTTTCATGAAATTATTGCTCGATTTAATGGTAGGAAGAATAGTCAGCCCACAACGATATTAGTGTATTAAGAATATATATAAAAACATGTCAACTGTATGTTTTATGGTACGCGCCCGATAATTCGTTACAAACTCTCGAAAATAAATGTAAACATCTAATATCGTTAAAGACTTGGATTTGAATTATCGACTTTTAAAACCCCCGCCCTCAAGAAATTTAGTGTCTGGACATTCTGGACAGAGCATGCTTTGCCACCCGACACTGGTAGTTGCTCCCATTCTCCCTTCATTTCGGCTGGCTACAAATTGTTTTCTTTCACCCACTCAAAAAGTAGTTTTAAATCAAAGTTCAAGGCCGATTCAATGTCCTCACTTCTTTGACTACTAAAAAAGAGTACAGCATCGTCTGCATATAACATCACTTGGCATTTGGATACTACCTTAGGAAGATCATTCACCATGGCAGAAACAACAGCGGGCTTAACTTGGCCCCTTGTGGTACGCCTGACAAAGGCGTACCCCAATCTGATCCAAATTTTCAAAGTACAACTTTTTGTTTCCGATCACTCAAGTATTCCTTGAACCAATTAATTTCTTGACCCAGTATACCGTACTCACAAAGCTTTTCTAACAGTATTAAAGTAATATCTTTTCCATCCGTGTTTTTCTTTCATCTTATAACTTACAGACGAAACCGTTTATCTGGTTGATGGAACCAGCTTCTTGGATGGTGTAGTCATGTACTACTACAACGGTCAACAGAGATCTGTCTGCCGTGACTCCTGGGACATGGCCGACGCTCACGTTTTCTGCAGAAGTCTTGAGCTGGGATATGCGGTAATGATTCCTAACTCTGACATATTAGGTGGCAGTGGGAATGAAGTTACTCTTGATTGTGTATATTGCTCTGGCAATGAATCTTCGTTCTTTGATTGTCCTGGAGTGGGTATTGCTTGTGAAAGTAGCTGCAATAATTCTCGAGATGCCAGAGTGATGTGCTCAGGAGGTATGTATGAATTATATCCATCCCTGAATGACTCTACCCCGCTAGGGAAAGTGAACACCCGCAGCTAGCTTTTCACTGGGGATATTTGCTAACGAGTTATCATAATTCGCTGTGAAAATAGGGTAGCCTCTTCTACTTATCTAAGCTTACATACATGCATGCGAGCGCAAAAGACTCATTGCTTCCATAATGTAGGTATGCATGTATAACAGTATATAGAAATAAACCTTTGAAGAATGAGGGGGCAAGTAAACCACAAAAGACCTGAACAAAAGTGCAGCCCTTAATTATGCGCAAAATTCTTCACAATGGATGAACTATATAGTTAAATGTTGCACCTAGTTTGGGGGCAAAGTAATAATTAGAACAATAATCACCACCTACTTGAGGAACGTACTGTAACATATATATGTCTTCAATCCCTTTTTCCGGCAATGAAGGGCAATTCATCTGATTCGATTTAAGGGATTGCATCCTCTGGTGCATTTTGTAGAGTAACACGTCTACTTTTGAAGCAGTATTGCTGAAACACCACAATGACATCACCCGCATTACGTCACAATCAACAGTTACTGACCAAACTACTAACTTTGTATCCTTCGTTGCAGGAAACGTCTGTTTAACAATTTGGTGTAACTTTGGAATGAATTCGCAAGGTATGAGAAAACGTTAAAACTTCAAACGTGTCCGTATTTATGTAATAGATGAAATTCAAAATATCTAAGAATTATATACAAAGTTACATTTAAAGTTCGTAATCGAAAGAAAAACTGTTACAGTTTTTATTTTTATTTCTATGTGTCTTTTCAATTGAATGTGAAAATAAATGACCTTAAAACTTAAAATGTTGATTTGATGTCGAAATAACGAAACACAAAAACAAAAGTTTTAACAAATCCCCTTTTCACTGGTATTTTTTTTCTTCTTCAAGAAGGTGACTGCCACTCCCTCCTACAGAGGACTAACGACTCGGAGTCAGGTAAGAAAACTTAACTTCTTTTTCTCCTTATTCTTTATTTTTGATTTTTATGTGAAATAATGGTATTTAAAAGGACAAAAAAATACATAGAAGTAATGAATAATATCAAATAGACCTTTACGGCTAGGAAAAATGATAATGTATTAGTCTTTCAAAGCATAGTAAGCTTCATTCGTTTCAATATGAAATCATTATACCTCGCATCTGTGTTCAATTTGTTCGATTTGTTATTAGGTACATGCGTTCAGTATGAGGTAGAGGCTCCCATGCCTACATTATCGGCCTTGAAATGTCTGTAAGTATAATCGAAACTTATAAAAGCATGACTAATAGTGAAGTCCTTTGTGCTGCTATTCATTCAGGTGCAGTAATATTACGTTTCGGGGCTGCCTTATTAATTAAAAATGATGTGAAAAGTATGATATTGAAATAAACAAAACAAACACTATGCCGAAGTCACCATACGGAACGGTGAGATCTCCTTTGTTAAAAGGAAAAAATTGAAAAAGGTGTACCTGGTTGATACTATATATACTAGTCTGTAGGATTTATTCTTTGAATGCAGTGAGTGCTATAGTGGCCAGATGGCTGAGACTGATTTCTCTTATCCAATGGATTTATCACAGTAATTATATATTCATTCATTTATCTCTGTATGATATATATGTATTAACTTTTAAACACTCTTTTCTTTTTAAGGACATCAACAGAGATTGAATTATTTGGTCCACTCTTTGGACAAATATTACAGTGCCAGAAGGAACAAAAAATTATGTGAGTTTAGTATGCATTCAATTGATGTTCTTATATCGACGCGTCGCGACGGTATTCAAAAAGAGTCTAAGAGAGCTAAATTTCCTCACTGGACAAACATTTCCGCCTAAAGCCTACCGCATATATACGATCTGACTACTGTCGTGTTGGGATCGGTGTATTGAGTTATTGGCAGTAGGAGAGGTACATAAATATGAAGCTTCAAGGAGAGGCTACCAATTCCAGAGTAATAGAGTATTTTATTATCTCCAAACTTTGGAGACTCAAATCAGTCACATCATTATGAACTGCATATGTAAAACACTAGTTGAAGAGAGAGCCAGCTAGAAAGAGGGTCTTGATCTAACGGTGATCAAAACTGAACTCCTCTCAGAAAGCCAGAACATGTAATATTTATCCAGAAAGATACAAGTAATATGAGGGTAGGTTACATTGTGTCAAAGGGACAAAGACATGAATGAGAGCCGCCAAAACAATGGACTACTTCGTAGTTTTATGTATGGGCTTAAACGTAACAGAGGTGGTATTTCCTGGGAAGGAGATTATGGATGCACTTGGTCTTTCTATGGGGAAGGATTATAAAGATGTAGACTTGGCTTTTAAGTGCATCTCAAATATGAGGGTACATGTACTTTACGATTAACTGTGTTTTGGGACAATACTACACTACGATCCGATTGTGGAAAATTTTTGCATTAGCATTTGATACAAACATACAATCATTTAAAATCTCATTGATCGAGGACTTTAATAGAATCTAAATATCAAGGGATTTCATACTTCCTTGGAAGAGGAAAAGCTAAATCGTCTCAGAATCGTGGATTATGTGAGGCCTGTAGTGCAATTGGCTACGAATTGAAGCCGATTCGGCTGATGTCCTGACTAGAAGAGTTCAATGCCCTTAAATTCCGGTTGTTAGTTTTCTTTTCATTATGTAGAGGCTAAATCAGGAAGATGACATTTCTTAAGATTCCCTTTCTAATCAAATTATAATTACTTCGAAATTATTATAGCAGGACGATCGTGTCGGCTTTGGAGAAGAGAAATAAATAACAGCGCCCGACAAACCTTCAATGCGTATCCACTGAGCTCCGTGTATACACAATACGGTTTTTTTTATCGCCACGGGTTACACAGGGATATCCGAACGAGGCTTAAAAGTCATATTTAATTGTTTTTTAACTTTATATTTCGCCACGTGATTAGGTATACATCATGTTCGGATATATTTTATGTTTTTTTTTTTAGAAATCAGACATGAACAATGAACATAATGTCAATTTGATTTTTTTTTGTTATGTTTTCGGAGTAGAGTTGTATAAAAATAAAATGAACCTTATATTAATATTGATACAGCTATCTCGCGAGTCAAAGCATCTCGTCATTGGAACAGCAAGCCTTCTCTGGAATGGAAAGCTTGAGAGTCTTGTAAGTTTGTATGCGAACGAACGTGACAAATTTGTAACAATGCTTTGTTTATTATGTTTTTGTTTTTTTTTCGTTTTGATTATTCTTTCTTACCCCTAAGTTTGAAGTTGAATAACAAAATACTTTACCCAATATTGTATTGGTTGACGGTACAGGAGTAAAACAAAAATATATAGCACATTATAAAACCCCTGGGTTCCGTGTACGCTCTATTCTATACAAGCACGTACATGTGCGTCGATTAGTCTACTGAACAAGTAGTATTTACGTCCATTGACAGTTAATTTGAACTTGCAGTATCTCATTAAATAAGTAATATTTGAAACTCATATTTTGGATTTAGTATAAAGATATGGAACCCCTAATATATACGATGAAATAGTTTCCTGTGATTGGGACATTTCAAATTATCTCACGTATCCAATGCATTGTTTAATGTGATTACTAATACCAGGTTACTTGCTAACAACACGATTGAGCACATCCCAGAGGGAGCTTTCGATGGGCTACAGAATCTTGAATTTTTGTAAGTATGTTAAGAATGACAGGGAAGTGTAGTCCAATGCTGACCCGGTAGGAGATAAATTTGTTAAACTTGAAGAATGCACTCCTTTTGAACCCCAATATTCTTTGTTTTGTTATTTATCGACTTATGTCACGAGCCATATATAAACGAAACCCTCACGTAAGGAATAATTGCAAGTATGCTGAGAGATGGGATTTATTCCTCCCTTTTGATGTACAATATTCCCCACGAATCTAAATAAGAGATACATTGTATATCAATAAAGATATTCTTGACATGATGTAATGCCTTTTAGTATGACCTTGGCACAGTCTCTAGTTCTAGCTCTAGTTTAAAAAACTGTTCAAATCAACAACAAAATCTTACTCTTCAGTGAGGGAAATTCATAGCTGAGAAGGTAAAATTTATTTTTTGCAAAATATATAACAGGGGAACAATTGTAACTCATTTATTTTGAAATACTAAAATAAAGCAGTTGAGTATTTTATTTTTCGAAACCTTCACCTTGGAATAGCACATACTTATTTATGCAAATTTTAGTTCTATCAATAGTAGTGCAAAGGATAATAGAAGGTATATGAAATACTACATTACCACACTCACCTGGGAAGGAAGCATCTATCAATTTGAATACGTTAACTTGATAAACGATTTTTCATAGAACGTCACCTTATCCAGAAAATGGCGATGCCCATATTGTTCACTGGTACTTTAACTCGTGCTAAGAACATCTTGCTTTATACCTGTCTCATACACTTAGGTGTGGAAACTTGGAGATGAATGGGCAAGAAATCAATAAAATTCCTAAGAATAACTAAAGTTATTTGTTAGGGTGAGGATGCTTTTAGAGTTAATCTGGGAACCCTAACCGCACAAATTATTATATTCCTGACATGTTCACCGCTATGCTGTCTTTGAATTTTACAAATACCGCACGCTGACTTCAAAGGGCAAACACACGACCAAGTATTACAAAAAAAGCTTTAATATCAGTCACTGAATTGAATAAATTCCTCGACTAGAAATTAATTCAAACCCTGTATAACAATATAGCGCTCATGTTAGTTTGTTTGTTTTACTGCTATGAAAGCATGTGCATGCTTGTAAGTAAGCAACCAGGGGACCGACGCACAGTGGGCAGGGAGGAACCAAAGTGCGCCAAAACTTTTTTTGGTGATTTTTGTTTTCTTGCCCAGTTGAAAGATAATACATTGAAGAATACCTCAGTAAAATATTTAATTCCAGTATTCTAATTGAGGGTATAAATTTACTCCTTCAAACAACAACATCTTACATATTTACAGTTTTAGTGCAAAAGTGACTTATTTTATAAATCTTTCAATTTAACATGAAGTTTTTAAGTTATTGATATGAAATTTCTCTGACATACTCCTGATAGTTCATTTCACTGCATTAATGGGTTGAAAATGGATAGAAACATAATCTTCATAATATATTATAGCGTAATCACTGAAAAATGGACTAACTATCCATGTTTTTTTATAAATCCAGAGGAAATGTTTGGATTTTTAGTAATTGCCGCTTAAATTTTATTACCAACATTTTCTCTGATGTCTAAGCTTTGAGTTGATACCAGATTTGGCTGCGTTTTTTGCGTTTTATTTTGTTAGAGCCGATTTGCCTTTCAACATTGCCCCGATTCATCCGCGGCTGAATCGTGAAGGAAAACGGCTCTTACATAATAAAACACAAACAACGCAGCCATATATGGTATCAACTTAAAGCTTAGACATTAGGAAAAACGTTGGTAATAAAATTTAAGCGGAAATCCCTGGAAATCCAAACATTTCCTCTGGATTTATAAAAAATAAATCCCCCAAAGGGAGCACTTTGGTTCCTCACTGGCCCACTGCGCAACGGCTTTTAGACCTCTCTGGCGCTCAATTATTGGCATTAGCCAATATGTTTTAGGAATCAATTCCTTCCAGGTAATTACCCCCACCTGGTGATGTATCTAATAATATTATACAATTCTGTTTTTCTTCTTCTAAATATTGATTTTTTGAAATACAGGGATTTGTCATTCAATCGTATCCACTCAATTCCTCCGAAGATTCTTACCAATATGCCGAGATTGAAAACTTTGTGAGTACGTGCAGATCTGCATTAAGACGTGGATTGTAGGCTATACAATATGTATGAGAACTCCCCAAATTACCTAATTGTTTTATTAATCATGGCAATGGTGATATTAATTAACTAAGTTTAAAGTGTCATAACAAGATGATTTTACATAGTTGAATGACTGTTCTCTCATTGAGAATTCTCAGGAAATTACATTTTAATAATAAATTAAAGTAATGTTTACCCTGGCCATTTTATTTGGTGAACTCCAGATCAGACTCTGCCTCAGCTGTAGGAGCAAACATTTACACCTTGTTTAATGAGAATACTCATAATATTCGTAACGAACGTATGTTTTTCATGATAACACGAACCTTCCCTTACATACAATGCATCATAGTTCCGGTGTGCAACTTTGAGAAAGGTCGTTTGAAGAAAAAAAGTTATCCAAATCATGAACCGCACTCAGAGGATAATGATGTAAACACCAGAATTGTATATATTTTAGTGCTGTTGTATTCAGTGTATATGTTTTGGTTGCAAAACAGTCATTTTCGAGTAACAAATGTTCTACCTTTATAAATATTGGTATTTGGTGCAAATTTCTACAACATTATTTCTTCTCCCATGTAACTTTTGTTTGTCTGTGTTGGCGTGTGCGTGGGTTAATATGTCTCAGGATGTGTTTGGGAGTGTGCGCTATTAGTATGCACATTGATTTTTTAGCTTGTATGAACAGGAACGTAACGAATATTAATTGTACCTCTTATTTAAATAGCAATTTTCCTCATACTGCATATTTCTTACCCATCACTGAAAAAGAAATAATTAACAATGCTCTGTCTTTCAAAAATGGTAAGGCTCCTGGTTTTGACTCCATTGATTGTTCTGTAGTGAAAACGGTTATTCATGTCATATCTAAACCTTTGTGCAATATTTTTAACTTATGTATTGAGCAAGGTGTTGTACCTGTTGACCTGAAAATTGCCAACAATTATTCCCATTCATAAAAAGGGACCAAAATATATATTCTCAAATTACAGACCCATTTAATTACTTCCACTCTGCACTAAAAACTTTGAAATACATCGATACCAGACTAAAAGGTTTTCTTGGTAAACATAGTATACTTTATAATAAGCAGTTTGGATTTAGGGCCAGGTATTCAACTGATCATGCTCTTTTAGATTTTTAATACAAGTACCGAAGGCAACTGAAAACAGAGCAATCATTGTTGGTATATTTTTGGATTAAAAAAAAAAGCTTTTGATTCAATTAACCATGATATTCTCCTTTCAAAACTTTACTATTATGGAATTCGTGGTGTTACTCTTAAATTATTTCGCAGTTATCTAAATGATCGCAAACAATTCACTGTTTTCAATTAGAAAAATTCAAGTTTACAATCAGTTTCCTGTGGTATTCCACAGGGGTCAATTATAGGCCCACTGCTCTTCTTAATTTATATAAATGATTTACATTCAGTCTCTCCCATTTTGAATTTTATACTGTTTGCGGACGATACAAATATATTTTATAAGCACAAAGATGTTGAATGCCTGACCAAAAATCTAAACACTGAGCTTCTAAAAGTTAGTGAGTGGATTAGAGCAAATTAACTGCAACTTAACTATGAAAAAAACAATGTTATGCTTTTTAACTTTCCAAAGACGTGTGCTAGTAAAGTAAAAATACATATGAATGGAAATCTGATTGAACATACGAGTTCAACCAAGGTATTAGGCATTAATATTGATAAAGATTTTAAGTAGAAAACACACGTCTATGAAGTTCTACTTAAAGTATCTAGAACAATAGGAATTATGAGTAAACTTAAAGACATCTTGCCTACCAACATTTTTATAATGTTATACAACTCACTACTCTTGCCTTACATATCCTACTGTGATATTATATGGGTTTTTTGTAAACAGAATTAACTCAATAGTATTTTCCTCCTACAAAAAAGAGCAGTTTGTATAATTTGCCACAAGCCATTTTTAAGTCCAAGCAGACCTCTATTCTTGAAACTGAATATTCTCCCAATATCTTTATCACATGATTTTCAACTCTGTGTTTTTATGTATTCATATTATCATAACCTATTAACAGAAATTGTTTGTAATATATTTCAGAGAAATAACGATATTCATAGATATAATACCAAGACTTCAGCAGACACTCGTGTAATATACGGTCATTCTTCATTTTCAAATAGTATCTTTTTATGCCAAGGACCCACTATTTGGAACAAACTACCCCCTAAACTTAAACAATGTGAATCTTTAAACAGTTTAAAGCATTATCTAAAACTTTACCTGATACGGCAAATTTCAATTTGACAAACGCAATTTTTATGTGTGTAATTACCATTGTAGTATTTTATTTTCTTTGTCTCTTTTTTGTTTTTTGTGTGTACTTTTTTAGGATCATCTACCCATAAGTTTTTGTTACTTTTTTGATGATCCAACCACTTCGTAATTTCATTTAGTGTATTTTCCATTTTATTGGTTTATCTATGTTTGCAAGAAACTATTGTATTCTTTGCCTTTGTATGTTTTTATGAAAGTGGTGAATAAAAAAATCAATTCAGTTCAATAAATTCAATTATAATGCAGGAAGATCGGGAACAACAACATCATACGTCTTCATAGTGGAGCATTTAGTGGACTGCCATCACTGGAAAACCTGTGAGTTAAATGACAAAAAAAGAATCAAGAATGTGATTAATTGTATTGTAATGCATTTGTTTATTCACGGTAAAAACTCAAAATCAATAAAAACTGATTGATTTACAGCGAGTCGGTGCACATTGTCACACAATATCACTGAACAACTGATATAGGAAAATTTAAATATCTACATATAAATCATTGAAGAAAAAATGAAATTCACAAAAACAAATATAAAATTATATTCATCAAAATATCGAGAATATTACGAGACTTACAATTTGTACACAGCCACCTCCCCCATTAATACAAAATCGATAGATAGGATTGATTTAACAAATTGAGTGAGTCAAATTGAGACTCTCATTAGCGAAAGTGATTGCATAATGAATTTCTTATCAAGCAACGGCTTATATTCGAATTCTCATGTTAGGCGGATTTGAGAGGAGGGGGGGGGGGATGCGACATTTTGGAAAGTACTGCGTGTGATCCTTTTATAAGTTATATTATTCCATGTAAGGTAATGAAACAGCTCTCTATTGTGAGTTACAAGTAGCCCTACTTAATATTCTACCAAGCCAAATAAAGATTCAGATTCAGATTTATCAGTAACGCACTCCTGATAAAACTTTTGTTTTACGTAAATTCCACTAAAAAATAATTGAACATTAAGAACTTAACAATATATGTTGCATACATGTTTGTTAGATGTCATGATCTCCATAATAATTGATTTATAAATATTTTTAAGTAAAGCATGTTAAAGAGCTATGGTTCAAAGAAAGAATGGCGCAATAATGTTTATTTCCACACATATAACCATAACACACGTTATCCTTCTTGGGAATTGAGAGTGTATTAAACGTTTCTTTTCCCCACATCCTTCATTCTTCTTTCTTCATTATTTGAACCAGGTATCTTGATCACAATAATATTACAGCAATACCAGATGATATATTCTCCGGTAGTTTATTTGAGATGTGAGTATGGACATATTTTGTTTTGAAAATCAATTTAAACTCCGATTGAGACGATAGCAGTCCTTGAAAAGTTAGACTATATGTAATTTAATTCATTGTTCGTGATTGATGTATCCTTCATTATTTGTAATTTACATGTACATTCATCTGCATGTAATTATCTTTCGAAAAAGTTAATTATGAAATTAACAAAAATGACTTTGCACGTTTATCCTGTTCTCTTATGAACGGAGGTAGTTTTAACTAAATACATATTACCAACCATTTGCAAAGGTCATGAATAATACTAATATACAGTGTTTCGGACATCAAATATCTTAACTTTATAATTTGGACAAGTCCACTGATTTTTTTTTGTATTAGTTCCACGATAAAGCAGGCGCAGGCGCCATTAGTCTTGTTCAGACGGAGGCAAGTTACCCTAGGGTAAAAAGTGCCTCTTACGCCCCCCCCCCCCCGCTTATTAACCGGCTTATTTACCGTATGTGTAGCTACTTTTACCCCGACCTATTTACTCCATAAAAATCCAGTAACTCGCTAACACGACAAGAGGGTAGCGTAAGTTGACCGTGTAGATGCTCTCAACTTACACCTAGGAGTATCTGTGACCTTTCACGAGCCATCTATACACCGAGTTTGGCCCACTTGGTTTCACTGGGTCACAGCATAGTCCAGTGGACGGTACCATAAACCATGGAAAAGTACAAGGTTTTTGTGTTGTTGATTTGTGTTCTTGATGGATATTGAAGTAAATCCAGCAGGGTTGCCAGCTTGGCAACCTTGGGCAACTTTTGTAATAGCCATATTAGCATAATCATCTAATTGGCATATGTGCAATATCTAATACTGTTGCTAATCTCAATCCAGGAAGCCTGAAAACATGGATAATACGACTTTTCAAGGGTTTTCTATCACAAGGAATTCGTTTATGACACCAGTTTTTATTTTTAAGTAATACAATTGTCTTAAATAGCATTATACGCTAATTAACATAGGCCTACATGTATGTACGATATATGGACTTTAATTGTCATTGTTTATCTACAAAGCCTAACAATGGTGCAATGCAACATTGTAAATCACCTTTTGAGAAGATATCCCATGTAGATGTAGTAAAATTAGCCTAATTACCATATACACTGTATGTGCAACATTATTACATATTGCACATATATGCTAATTAGATTATTATGCAAATTAGACTAATTATAATACATCTACATGGAATATCTTCTCATGAATTAATGATTAGTCTTTAAATAGTGATTTACAATGTTGCATTGCACCATTTTTAGGCTTAGTGGATAAACGATCACAATTATATTGTACGCATGCTTATTTGCTCAATATGCTAATTATGCTATTTAAGACAATTGCATTACTTGGAATAAAAAACTGGTGTCATAAATGAGTTCCTCATCATAGAAAACCCTTAAAAAGCGTATTATCCATGTTTTCAGGCTTCCTGGATTGAGATTAGCAACATTATTACACATTGCACATATGGTAATTAAATGATTATGCTAATATGGCTATTAAAAAGGTTGCCCAATGTTGCCAAGCTGGCAACCAAGCTGAATTTACTTCAATACCCATCTAGAACACATATCCAAAAAAAAAAACTAGTTCTTAACAACTTTTCCAGGTCTGAAAAACTTCTACCGGACTTACACGGCGTACATTCTTTTGTTTTGTTGTTCCTCAACAAAGCAGTTGGACACACTCTGTGTATATATGACTCCGCTCTCACTTACACCCGGGAGTATCTGTCTCTGCGCAAGTTCCGCCGATCGGTGGCAAGTCGTTTTAACTTACTCGTGGCAAGTTGGTCCGAGTAAGAGCGCGTGGACAACTATTGGTGTTAGTGAAATATTCATGAGGTATTTACTGCTGCCGGGATCAACTAACACCGAGTAGCAAAACTCTGTCTGAACAAGACTATAAGCGCCTGAGCTAGCGGATACCGACCCTTTATAAGATATCGTATTAGTAATCCCTTTACCTGTGCTTACATGTCTGTCCTACAGATGGATCAATGACAATAACCTTCGCGAACTGCAATACGGAGCTATGAGAGGATTGTCTAGCATTAAACGCATGTAAGTTTACGATTGAAACTTTGCATGGTTTTAACATGGTTTAACTCCACCAGTAATTATAGCTTCTATTTCTGTTATTCGAATGTCCTCAACAACCCTGTTCTGAGGGTTGGTGTCATTTTGTTCTATGAATGCAATTTTTATTGTATCTCTGAAAGCTTGAGAAAAATAATTGATCTACTTTCAGGAAAGAAACAAACGTTTTCAATATTAAAGAATACTTTTAATGGAAAACAAAATCATGTCTGAAACCTGAGAAAAAAAATTCTTTCTTATCCTGCCTATTGACAAAATGTAGGCCTACATATTTTTTCAATAGGAATAATAAACCGATTCCTACCGCAGTCCGGGACCGCAGTCCGAATAACCGTAAAATCATAAGTATCATAATTTCAAAATGAATGAATCCAAAGGCATTTCATTGAATTGTAATCCCTTATGTATTAATGATCCTATATATGGAAAAAAAAATTCCAACCTACTTAAACTTTTTGTTTAATACCCACTCTTTCCTTAATCGGTTGGTATATAACAGAGAATGATTACATGTTATATCATCTAGATACTTGGAGAACAACCACATACAAAAAATAGACAATGGATCATTTGATGGACTTCAAATCCAACGCATGTAAGTTCACGGGATTGACACCTCTTGCCCGAATAAGAATAATGATGATGATGATAATAACTATAATACAAATTATAGTAATATTAACAATCATAAAGATATTAATGTTAATAATAATAGTAATAATGTTGAATATACTTATAGTAATTATGTAATCAAAGGATTATAATAATAATGATAACAACATATTGATACTACAAATGATAATGATTATAATAATAATAGTATTAATAATTATAAGAATAATAATAGTGATATTTATAATAATAATAATAATAATAATAATAATAATAATAATAATAATAAAATAATACTATTACTAATACTAATAATAATAATAATAATAGTGACATAATTCTACTTAATAACCATTGTTTTTCTTTATAAATCAGTATATATAGATAGATAGTTTATAGATAGATAGTTAATTGGTTTCCACGATAATGATAATAATAATGATAATGATAATAACAATAATGATAATGATAATCACAATGATAAATATAATAATAATAGTAGTAATAATAACAATGATGATAATAATAATGATGATAATTATAATAAGAATGACAGTAATAATGATGATGATATTAATGATAATAATAATAATAATAATAATAATAATAATAATAATAATAATAATAATAGTAATAATAAAATGATACCACTACTACTTTTACTTCTACTACTACTAATTGTTGGTTATATAGCAGTATATATCATATTGAACTCAATTAAAACTGATCAATGTTCTGTATGACAGAACAGATTATTCAATACATGAAAAACTTACAAAATATACTACAAATATAACACAGCAACTACAACGTAAGAACATAGGTTTAAAGATGCTTCTTAAATGATTTAACAGAGGTACGAGAACGTCATTATCTTAAAACCTATTAACTGGCAACAGGAAAGAAAACTACTTTCTCCTATATTTGATATCTGAAGTTACTTTAGGCAATTGAAGCCCTTTGTGTCTTTACTTGAACGAAGCTTCTATACTGACTTCGAAACTGTAGTCAGGAATACAAATATCAAATGTTCGGTCTTTAACCTTTTAGAGGAGCAAAATTCGTAATACTATTGTAGAAAAATCAAAATATACGAGATAACTGATATTACGAGATAAGCACAAATAAAACATTGCCTTGCCTCGCTGCCTCGATATGAAGTGACGGATGTCCATTTGTCCATTGGCCATTTCAACATTGTTGATCGTGGAAGAGGGGGTGGGCTGCAGCCCCTCCCTTCCTTGTTTGTCAATTGGCATTGGCGAATCTCAAGGCCATGACCACAGAAACTTGTGTCTGATCTTTGGATGGAAGAATTGTTTTCAAACTAACTTGATGTGATTGTGATTCACTTAAGTGTCAAAGACCCCTTCTTAGAAGTTTTTATTTTCTCCTTGTCTGTTATATGTGTCGTTTTTTGTTCTACAGAACTCTTGAAAACAACAATCTCGTTACCATCAACGGATTGCTTCATGGATTACCTGAACTTGTGATGCTGTAAGGGATAGTAGCTTTATCATATATGTATTGCCCTTGGCTTAGCACGGTTGTCATTATGTGTGCGTGTGTGCGGGGAGGGAGCGGGGAGGGGGTAGCCGGCCAAGATTTACCAACTTAATTCTAACTCTTGTCGTAGGCCTTGAATATGATATCAAAATGCATTAATTATAACAAGATATTTGAAAAATGCTGGCATAAATATGATGGTGATAATAGCAAACCGAAGAAAAATGAATTTGGAGTGTCCGTTGTTTATCCGTTTTCATCTTTGCTGCAAATATAAAAGTGTGGAAACTATTTCTACACATATATCAACTTTCGAGTATTAATTTCTGCAAGCAAGCGAAGACATCGAGCAAATACTCATATATTTTAGTAAATTTCCAATAAAACTTTCCCCCAAAACATACAAGAAAAAAATAGATGCGAAGTAGATAGCTGCTCAATTTGAAAAGACAAAATCATCAACCTGTGGAGATAAATTAGCCTTCTGTGACCTGTTAGGTTTGTTGCTATTTGGATAAATGGAGAAAACATATTTACAATAATCATGACAGGTTTCTGTATGGTAATTTGATCAAATTTTTAATTATTTTGCGATGCCTCTGGTTCTGGTATTTTACTATTAAATATTTAATGGGTTTAATTCGTAAAAAGACAGTCATGTTCCGGTCATTTCCAAGCGTTACAGAATGTCAATTATAGATCATATCAACAATTTGTAGATTTTTATTAAACACATCTATGATATTCCTTTTTTCCAAATTGAAAATTCTATGGAAATGTCATTCCGTAACGCTTCGAATTGCCCTTCTTATAATAGTACTCTCCTAGGACATCATAATCATTACTGCAGAACAAAATATTTTTACTTCTCCTGGCAGAAACCTCTCCAGTAATAATATTAAACACATTGGAAGCGGAGACTTCAAGGACCAGACTAGCCTGTTACTTCTGTAAGTTTACCTGTATTTGAAATTTTTGCCTTGTCGTCTATGTATTATTCTGTATCTGCTTTCATAACTAAATAACTAACAATCGTAGCCATGGAGAAAAGCTGATATAGTTCTGTGATAATTGAGTCATCCTGTCTTGATACTAATTAGATGATTCGGTTATATCAAATAACCATAAGCTTAAAATGGCACTTTACGTAACTCGTCCAACACACGGTAACCCTTTACAAGATACTGGACCAATCACCGATGCAGAAATCACAATAACTTACCAATTAGACCTCGCCAAAATACACTGTTGCCCATAAAGTTATTATTATTTTTTCCTACCTTATTTTCATGAGTTGATTGTAACATTATGATTAAATATCGATAGAGTACTATTCACATCTTCTCAGATCTATATTTATCAATCCAACGAGTTATAGAAATTTATCAATATTCAGTTCAATTCAATTCATTTATTCAATCAATATAAAAACAGATACATAAGATTGCGTATGAACGTATATGACAAATATAAAAAGATGGACATAGTAAAATCAGTAGTTGAAAGCCCGTAACATACATTGAGTGGAGATCAGATTAAAGATCTATTTAAAGCCGGATCTTGTAAATTCGACCCCATTGTGATGTATGAATTGCATTGAATATTGTTGCATGTACAACAACAACAGAGAGAATACATAAGCAGATGGGTCATATAGAAACGAGAGAGGGAGATATAGAGAGAAAGAGAGACAGAGAGACAGACAGAGACAGACAGAGATACAGACATAGAAAGAGAGAGAGAGAGAGGGGAGAGAGAGAGAGAGAGAGAGAGAGGGGGAAGGGAAATTGAGGGAGAAGAGGCAAAATGAGAAGTGAAGTTAATACATAGGATGAAATTAGACACAAGCAGAATAATAAGAAAACCCATACAAACCAGGGATAAAACAATTAACATTGAAATAAACAACAGACAACAGATGACTCAATGTGAATTAGATGGTAAAAGCCTGTCATTGTATTGTTTCCTGAAAACGTTCTAGGGTTAAGCAGTTTGTAGATTAGCTGGCAATGCATTCCATAGTTAATATTTTTTGAGAAACTGACGTCCTTGGGATGTGAAAAATCTGTATTTGGATTGCAGAGTAAATGTAAAACTAGCGTGTTAGGGATAATAGCAAGATCTATCTCTATCAAGAAAACTTGTAGTTAATATTCGAAATAACTGAATTGCAAAAATATTGTAGTTGCTTTGTGTCTCTACTCTATCGTCCACCGTTTTACTGTAAATAATAGACATCATTCACTGTTTTGAATTACTTCATGCACTGTCACTATGCCAGCACGTTGCACCGACATCCCAGTTTAGCTGTATGATAGCTGCCATCGGGATTATCTCTACAAGTAACAAGTAACAAGTAACAAGTATCGGATTCGCCGAATTATAAATTGTATCAAGACTAAATGATTTTGTTTTTGGTTCATGTCATCCACAGCGATTTGCGCAACAATCCAATAACTCACATTGATCCTGGTGTATTCGATTATGCGATTAGTCTGGAATACATGTAAGTAGCACCGTGAATCTTTTTAAGGTTTCTTATGTATAGGCATAATCTTTCCACACACGGTCAGACGAAATTAGACAGATGTTTTTTAAATATTGTATCACTCCAGAAGTATATTACTCATCATTCATTTTACTTTCTCTTGTGGTACAAACACGCTTTATAAACGCCATAAAAGGACAAGTTCGTTTTAAATATATATATATATATATATATGGATGTAGGATGTATTTGGAACCTGATCATGAAATGTAACTTAGATATATTAAATGGTGCTCGTTACTATATGCTCTAGGTCATATCGATGATTTTTCTCTGAATGAAAAGGGATTCAATACAAATCTACATGAAGGTCGACATTTCTTAAACAGGTTGAGAAACTGAGATTTTGTATTTATTAATTGCGTTATTTATGTCATTATACAACAACTGAAGTGTCCTACTGGACATCGATCTACAGTCCATCCACGAGGACGTTCTTACTGGCCTAACTTCGTTGCAAGCCATGTAAGTAGATGATAAGCTTAATGTCATAAACCGTTGAAATAAGTGTGCTAAAGATTTGATGAGCCAAATTTAGAAGAAACGGTTACATCGGAATGAAAAAACGTATTGTACATTCGGGGGGATTTAAAATGCACTGACGTAACATTAAAAATGTTGTTTTGAAATGAAGTGTCAAAATTTGATTGCCCCTCGATTGAACTATATTTTAGGATTAATTATCTTCTTCAATTTATTTCTAAAAAAGTTTTAGAATTACGTCGTTTTATCTGGCTAAAGCTATGGTCACAAATCAGAGCAGCGACCGACCGATCAGTAGCCTGCTCGGTCGCTGCTGGAATTTAGGCATCGCCCAGCGATTAGGTCGGTGACCGGTTGGCGACCGCCCAGGCACCGAGCGTATTTTTGGCGGCGAGTGAAAAGTGAGCAGGCGCCGCCCAAATTTTAACTCCGCGCTAAAACTTCAACGGCGACCGAGCGATGCCCTAAAAACGAGCGGTGCCTGGGCGGCCGCCGCTCGGTGGCCGGGCAGCCGCCGGGCAGAATTGGTTAAAAACTCGCCGCTCGGCCGCCGAGCAGGCTACTTTTGGGTAATGTGACCATAGCATAAGTTAGAGCAACAGAGGAATCAATACATTGGTTTGTAAAATGAATAATGATACTTTTGAATCATTATTCGAAGAGATATGGATAGGTTCGTATTGTATCAGAATGTTGTTTTGTGTATTCTATTTTAGATCTACTTCCGACAACCGGCTGTGTTGTCTTCTTGAGCGAAAAGAGAAGAACGTAACTTGCGCCAGGACAACTTCCACCAATCCTCTCGATACCTGTGGAAGGCTCTTTCCGAGTGTCGTGCTACGAATCGCCGGTTGGATCATAGGACTTTGCTCTCTAGTCGGCAACATTATTGTCTTAGTTCTTCGATTTCGTCATGAAACGAAGCTAAGTGTTCAAACTCTCTTGATAATGAATCTAGCTGTTGCAGATTGTCTGATGGGTATTTACATGATTATCATTACATCCGCAGATTTTCATTTCGGTAATAGTTATTTCTTGAATGCACCTATCTGGCGTGAATCGTATCTGTGCAAATTTTCAAGTTTCCTCGCATTTCTATCAAGCGAAAGTTCTGTTTTCACTTTGGCTCTGATGACTGTTGATAGACTCATATGTATCAAGTTTCCTTTCGGTAGATACCGTTTCAATGTTAAATCAACAGCGACCGTTATGACAGTATTATGGTTACTTATATTCACCCTCAGTGTGATACCACTTGTAGTTCCAGCCGATGTGCCCGGGTTCTATGGACTGTCGGATGTTTGTATTGGGTTACCATTACACGCTGAATCTAAAGAGACGGGGCTGCTTCAGTTTAAAGACAGCACATCATCAAAGAACATTATAGCATTTTCAGCCGAATACATCGTAACCAACAGAACAGTTCGTCCATCCTGGCTCTACGCGATAGTAACATTTATTGGTGTTAACATGGTTTTATTCATTTTTATTCTGGTATGCTATGTCGCTATGTTTTTAGAAGTGAAGAAATCAACCCAGAGCGTGGGAAATGCTACAATTCGTAATCGAGAAATCAAAGTGGCCAGAAAAATGGCGCTGATCGTAGGGACTGACTTCGCATGTTGGATGCCTATCATTGTAATGGGTATCCTTACACAATCGGGTCTCGTTGTCCTACCGACATCCCTTTATGCTTGGAGTGTTATATTCATCATCCCAATCAATTCCTCCATCAACCCCATATTATACACGTTCGCTAACTACATTGAAGGCAGGAAGAAACCAAAGAAAAACACACCCACAAAACCAAACTCTGAAGGGGGTGGCACGAGAGAAAAAAGTGCAACTATAAGTAACACGTCCTTGACGCAAGTCGGCAGCGATGATCATAAGATGAATGAAAATAAGTCCATTAAGACAGTAACAGGAAGTGAAATGTAAGAAGCATTTGGAGGGGGTAAATCTGAAGTGATTGGAATTTACTTACAGAGGAGGAAAGAGAGAGAGAGAGGGGTTGAAAATGTCTGTAAAATATGTAAATTTCCGGAGAAAAAAAAATCATCGATATGCTAATTATGCATTCAAATTTGATATTGTATGATATACTTTGCAACACTTCGGTTGTAAATAGAGATTAACAACTTGATGTTATTATCGCCTTACAAAGTTCTGTAAGTTGGGGATATTAGAAATCAGACAAAATCAATGCGATGCAATTTGTCGGATTATGGGCCCGTACCGAAATACTTTTCCATTATAAAGGAATATATTGAAGGCAAGAACAAAATGAATTTTTTTTACGCGTGTATATAAGCTTGACGATTGATATAATTATGTAATGTAGGTACCTAAAATGGCATATGAAATACATTGCAGAAGCAATGTTGGCACATCTATCGTAAACATTGTTGTCATTTCTTTTCTGTAATATCGAATAAGATTGTCTTTAAAATTCTTACTGAGCTCTGAACACTCATTTTTTCTATTAAATATAAAATATTTCAGAAAAAAGGAATATTCAAATTTGATATCAATGATATTCATATCTGCATTGCCATCATATATGATTGTAGTTCTCTGCTGAATTGTTGTGCTATATCTTTCTAGTTCATAAATGGTTGCTCTGTAATGATTCAGAATTATCCGTCTGGTATGGGGAATTCAAACTGACATTTGTCAACCTTGCCCATTCATATGTAGAGGCGGTCAGAGTCAGGCATAGCCTTTGTCTCAGTGGAACAACTGTCGATATAAGAGACTGTATATTTCGTTAATGTTTCAATAACATGTGTAACTAAATAAAGAAATAATACAGCAAGGTGCGTTTTTGGAAGGTATTCTTTTTCTTAAAACTGTTATCTTTAAAGGGCAATTAGACTCATAACTCTCTAAGGTTCCCCTACAAAACGGAGTGTTTTCATGTGACAACATGATTTGCCTTTCATGTCTGCCTGTTACTATATCGTGTGAGTCAAGAACAAGTTTACACTAAAAAAAATTGGCATTTAATTTAAAAGTCAGCTATAAACGAAAGGTTACCATGCATGTTTTGAAAGAATGTTATATCTCGAATCGTTTGGTATCATTTTTATGTCGTATGTGTTCACGCTTGGAGAAGCAGGGGGCATTGTTTGTGAGAGTGCAAAAATCGACTTGTGCAAAAGTATTAAAGTGAGATAATGAAGGGAATGTATCAAATGTGATGCATTGCAGAAGCTTTTTGCAGAAACAAAGTCACACACACATGCGCACAGATGTTCTTATATATTTTATATTTGATATGTGTAGCATGATTAATTTTTGGGTGATGTTATTTGGATCTGCAAAGACCGAATTAATACCCAAATCCCTATTGTTTTATTCAAACATCACATGACCATTACTGGCGCAAGTCGATTTTTGCACTCTCTTTAAGTGTCTCCTGTTCTTCCAGGCGTGAACACATACCACACACAAATGATACCAATTCATTCGGGATTTAAAAAAAAAAAACTCTTTCATATTGGATGTATAATAATTTACTGTTTATAGATGATTGTTTTAAATAATTAGCTTTTTTTTTTTGTAGGTGTAAACTTTTTTTGACTCACACTTTAGAAGTAGACATATGGGATGTGAATGGCTGTGGGGAGGGGTAGGCATGTTTGTGTGTGTGCGTGTGTGTGTGTGTGTGTGTGCGTGCGTGTGTGTGTGTGTGTGTGTGCGTGTGTGCGTGTGTGTGTATGTGTGCGTGTGTGTGCGTGTGTGCGTGTGTGTGCGTGTGTGTGTGTCAGAGAGAGGAAGTGAAGTGAGAACGTCATTTAAAGAAAAAATATGTAGAGAGAAGGAGAGAAAGAGAATAGAGAAAAAGATGGAGAAATATGACTGCCTTTTATAGACTGTGGGGCAAGGGCCAGTTAACCATCTAAAAAAAAAGTTTCGTAGTCCCATCTTTGGCAGAGAAAACTAACTATACCAAATGATTGTGATGAAGTTGCTGATGAGAAAACACCTTTGTTCTCCAAATTTCGTACACCCGTTGATGAGATAACATGCTATTTAGTTTAATTGGATTTTAACAAGATTTCCTTGAAAAAGACTAGCGCCAACTATGGTAAATAGTCCATTTTGCTGATTCAAAGTTGCTATTTCTTGATTCTTTTTTGCAAAATGTTTATTTCAGACCTCTATGAGACTGTTCAGGTGTGATTTTTCTGCGCAATTAATTTAATCCGCTAATTAGTTTTATTGGATTTTAACAAGATTTCCTTGAAAAAGACTAGCGCCAACTATGGTAAAATAGCCATTTTGCTGATTCAAAAGGCATTCAAATTTGCTGTTTCTTGATTATTTTTTGCAAAACATTTATTTCAGACCTCTATGAGACTGTTCGGGTGTGATTTTTCTGCGCAATTAATTTATATTTATGCTGTTGGTGAACTTGAAAACACTAATTGCAATTTTCCACGTTTTTTTAATATTTCAGCACGTCATCAAGACGAGTTTTGTTAAGCCCAAGTTATGTAATTTCTTGCATCTTGTTTAAGTTACCATCTGTTTGTATATTCATGTCACTCATTTAACTCTTCCTTTTTTCCCTATTTCTCTCTCTATCTCTCTCTCTCTCTCTCATCACACACGTTTTTTGTTCTCATGTCTCCTCTTAAAAATCTCTTTTTCTTCCCCTGTTGTTTTCTCCTTACTCTTCCATTCTCTTTCATCATAATTTACCTTATTATATTCAACATGTCTTATTGAGTTTCATCAACTGTGCAAACTCCTTCCAATCAAATCATCAATATTGTTGCTTTTAGTTTATTTTCCACTTCCCCGAAAAATATATTGCTGTTCAAAACTTTGTTAATACTAATACTAGGTAGTACTAGCAACACTGCTCATGGTCTGCATAGCATCAGTTTAGAACAATACAAATTTCAAAGAGAAACCTAACAACAAATTCATACCAAAACTGCCAAATAAATTATATTCTTCTCTGTTTAATTTGATTTCATTCATTACGTAAAATGTATTACCGTACTACCATTTTGTCAATGACATTTATCTACAAGTAGATTACCGGGTACTTTTTCTAAAACCGGTACTTGCCACTGCCAGTGAAATCAGAACTATGGTACATGTATGTTGTAATTTACAAATGCAATTTAACTTGAACTGCAAAGATTGTTAACAGTTTTTACATAAATATTGATGGAATTGAAATAAATTATGAAACATTGATAAGATGTGTCTAGTCATTTGTTGTCTTTTTTTTTTTGGTTCAAAGAAAATGTCCTAAAATATGTTGATAGAAAAATTGCCAAAAAGCTGTTACTGTTGAGGAATTCATAAATTTTACATATTTCGATTAGAACAAGTGTCCAAAGAGTGTGATGGAAAGTTTGAAACGACCCATACATTTGAACGTAATAAAGTTTTATATTTGACTATAAATCTTGGCAATGCTTCAACATGGCAAAATACATGTATGCATAATAAATAATAAATGTCCATATTATTATTATTATTATGAAACAAATGAGCATGCAATGCAAGTACAATAGTACATTACTGTAAGTGATTACTTAGTAAACATTTTTCCAGCTCTGAAATTATATCTTTACATATATTTAGTATATTCTTATATTACAGTTGCACATAATGTATATGTAAAACACCCCAGTCGACCCATACATTTGTATATGTCTATTCATGAAAGGTTGGTTATTTTGTACATAATTTACAAAGGAACCATAGGGATATAAAAATCATTTTTTTTAATCCCCAAATTGAATAAGAAATATCAGAGAAAAAGTTTCACAATGATCTTGCCTTTGTTCATTTTAATTTTATCATATATATTTGTTGTTATCAATAGAACCAGTTAATGTTGAAAAATCTGCTGATAAACAGCAAAAAATATTGCATACATCTAGTGCTCAATATGAACGCGTAAATTTTATGCTGATGGTCTCATATTTCCAACAAATCAAAGCTGGCAGATGAGCGCCGAGATTGTAGACTCCTACACAGCTTCTTAGGTTGTGAAGGGATATCAGATGGATCTGGGGGAAAAAGAATATAAAACACTAGGTCAGAAACAAAGCTCATATCAAAAATTGGCGATAGTTTCGCTGTCATTTCAAAAATTTCAGATAGCTTTGGCGTCTTTTAAAAATTCTTTAAATGTTTCAAAAACAAAAATTCATATTAGTCTACAAGTCATTTCGAAAATTGGCAATAGCTTCGCCGTCTTTTCTATTTTAAAATTAAAATTGTTGATACTGATAGCTTGACAGCCGCCATGTCTATCTTCATGTTAGAAAAAGTGCCCCTTGTCTAAATATGCTTTCTATTTTGACCCCTATTGAGTGTGCAACTATAATGGCTTCATGCACTGATTACAAAAAAATGTAAACAACACACCACATCCCAGCACTAAATAAACCAGTTTAAAATAATGCTGTTTTGACCAGGACAATAAGTTAAACTAACTAGGAAGGCATGTCTAAAATTAAGTAAAGCCTGGCTCAATGCGTCCAACTTGTCCGACATTTTTTTTGTTTTCCATTAGGCCTATTATTATAATTTACAGCTAAGGAGGGTCTACATGTACGTACATGATTACATCAATGACATAACAAACAAAATTGATGTCAACTCACAGAGGCATTGTAAACGATTCAATCAACTGACAGACTTCATCATTCAAGCTCCATCATGCATGCATAAAGGGCCTAAATCTAGGCCTAGCCCATAGGCCTAGGCCTAGAGCCTAGAGCCTAGAGCCTAGAGGGTCTAGACTCTATTCTCTAATTGTTTTTTTTTTAATGAGGCTAGAGCTAGATCAAAGTAAAGGCAGGGCCTTAATTTTTGCTGGGTTATCATGGTTATCATGGTTATTGCAAACAAAGAAATTGAAACTCACCTTCAAATTCAGTCTTGTTAGAATCTCGAGGTATTTTACGGAGAAAAGTGCAAAATTGAGACGGATTTCCTTGCCAATGTCGCCGGTATTGAACCGTATACATACAGCGACAGTACCAGTGCAGCGCAAATTACAACATTGTCATTTGCAATGCACCACTGGTACTGTCGCCGTATACAACAACCGTGAAGGCACGTATACGGGCGACATTGGCAAGGAAATCCGTCGCAATTTTGCTCTTTTCTCCGTCCATATTTTTCAAAATATCAGCAGAAGCAAAAGCTTTGGACCATTTTGTGTCTGTAAATTCTTTCAAAACGACATCATTCACAGTCGGGAAGTGAATAAAACACCTCTTTATCTCTGTATCGGTGACGAAACTTCATCGGTGTCATAATTATGGTTGTTAGATGTTTTTATGTAGCGAACGAGGACAATGACGTAGGGAAAATCCCGCCTCGTGATTGGTTGAATTGGACACACCTCCGATTTCCCGGGATATTACCCACGATTATTAGGAGGCAACATAATTATTATCTTTAATTAGTTTTCACGAAAAACCGTAAAGAAAATGAGGAGAACAAACGGTAAATATGTTTGTAATAATTTTCTTTATATTTTCATACTGGTTTGGTCGACTGCCACTGATGGGACTACGAAACAACACAATACAGTGACTTGCCCTACAGTCTATTACACCCAAACATACCAATTAATCCACACGGATTTCTGGTGTTTTTAGACATTTGAAGGCTGTGAAAAATAATCCCCCCTTTTTGTTTTGCTCTTGCTTTTGGTCGAGTGGTTTAAGGCGCTTGACTGGAGATTCGAAGGTCGAGGGTTCGAATCCTGACACGGCACTACTATCCTTTGGCAAGATATTTACCTGCACTTGCTGCTCTCCACCCAGGTGTTAAATTGGTACCCGGTAGGATGCGAAAGTTCATGTGGTTGGACGAGCAAGTGTGCGCTTGTGAAATGGCGACTGGCTTGAATGCTCCCCAAGGAGTGGGAAATGTGCATACATTGTGTGAGGTTAAGCCTGAATCCGATGACCGGGGTAATAATATATCTGTAAAGCGCTTAGGCAAATCGTTGGATCGATGTATTGAGCGCTATATAAACACGGAATATTATTATTATTATTATTCATATCATACCCTACAAGACCTATGAAAGTGATGTCCTGCAAGCAATGGCTTAAATTTGACTGTTTGAGAAAATTACATTTCCCCCGGTAACACGTAACTCCGGCTTGTACTCGCGTGTGGCGGAAAACAAATAAATACAGATGGGCAAACAGATAAAAGTGTGAAGTGGCACATCTTGAGCTGAAGGAGACAAGGATGTAAATATTGGTACGTGCAGAGACAGCATCGAGAGTTTTGTAAAGGGACATTTTCATCGAAGCATTGTGCTCGATATCACATGCTGAAAACCCCAAGTATAAATTTGGCTCAGAGAAAGGAAAAAACTCTCAAACTATACAGTCTTCATTTTTATCATGAAAGTAGATTACTTTGAAAAGACAACTGGGAAATTTGGGGAAATCGATTTTTTTTTTGGGGGGGGTCTGGTTTTAGGGGCCTTAGACACGACTTGAGAAAGTGTTATCGAATACCAGAATAATTTAACGAATCTTAATTTTGGCTGGGAATAGTTTGATAGACTAATAAATGCCAAAATAATCTAATAATATATATATATATATATATATATATATATATATGTATATATGCCGAAAAAATCAAACACATAGTCGGAATAGTTAAACTTTCTACCGCCGACTTGAATTTTCTTTTTCTTCGTTGTATACATTTCAAACATGAATATAAATTGATCTCTTGACTTTTTACCAAGTTTTACCATGTACCAAGTTGCACCTAATTTTTGTTTACCCCTGTGCGCGTACTCAAATTATTCTGTGTGTAAGTTTGTCGATTACTTTAGCTTTTTGTGTTTAACTTTAGCCGACAGAAAAGCGAGTGTACAGACATCGAGAATCACATATGAAGAAAGTTGCACTTCGATATTAAAGCTCGCTTCGAAAAGTCCATTACATATTTGTTTAATGGGTGAGTTTCGTGTAGCAGAAAAACGACTTAACATGACAAAATGCAAATAAACTGTCCAAATATAAGCGTAATTTATGTTGATTTTTCACGATCCTGACTCGCGAACTTAGGTTAACGCTTCGTGAAAATGTCTTCAATCCCAATTTTAGGACTACCACTCGTTCTATTTTCCCTTTCTGCCTTTATTTTAAGTTTTCTTTGTTTTAACTTTTCAAACAATAATTTAGCAAAGCCATTGGGCATTAAATGCAAGTCACCAATTCACAACGAGTGAGTTTAATCATTTAAATATTACGGTAACGAACTGAATATAACATGTCAATGTCCGATCTCGCTGTTTCGATCTCGCTGTTTCAATATCCTGTGCTTTATTTGCTTCATGCAACAAGTGTTTACCCTACCGATCACAATTGTTAACGTCAATATTATATTCTCTCGATATACAGCGACTAAGTTTACTTATTCATATACTATTTTGACAAACAAATGTAACATCACGACTCTCTTTCTGATCTAATGAAAATATTCTCTTCTCTAGTCAATTCAAATAAGAGATGACACGATCTTTCTTTTTATGGCAAACGTATGATATGATTTGTTTATATAGAGCGAGTGAGTTTATTCAGTGAAATATAACTGATTTGTTATATCAATGTAATAATTTGTCAAAATATAAACTGAGATAAACGATCCTGACTCGCGAACTTAGGTTAACGCTTCGTGAAAATATCTTCAATCCCAATTTTAGGACTACCACTCGTTCTATTTTCCCTTTCTGCCTTTGATTTAAGTTTTCTTTGTTTTAACTTTTCAAACAATAATTTAGCAAAGCCATTAGGCATTAAATGCAAGTCACCAATTCACAACGAGTGAGTTTAATCATTTAAATATTACGGTAACGAACTGAATATAACATGTCAATGTCCGATCTTGCTGTTTAAATATCCTGTGCTTTATTTGCTTCATGCAACAAGTGTTTACCCTACCGATCACAATTGTTAACGTCAATATTATATTCTCTCGATATACAGCGACTAAGAGGCTGTTCACACCGGCAGAGATAGCGCGCGCTAGACCGCGCTATCTCTGCGGTTTGGAAGGTACAACGTCGTTTCGGTCCGCCCAACAGCGAGCCACGGCGAGCCAAAACGGCGTGCCACTGGAGCACCTCTTGGGGGTGGTCCACGAGAGATAGCGCGGTCTAGCGCGCGCTAGAAAAAAGGGAGTGCTACGATAGACCGCGCTATCTCATTGCGGTGTGAACAGCCTCAGAGTTTACTTATTCATATACTATTTTGACAAACAAATGTAACATCACGACTCTCTTTCTGCTCTAATGAAAATATTCTCTTCTCTAGTTAATTCAAATAAGAGATGACACGATCTTTCTTTTTAAGGCAAACATATGATATGATTTGTTTATATAGAGCGAGTGAGTTTATTCAGTGAAATATAACTGATTTGTTATATCAATATAATAATTTGTCAAATTATACACTGAGTGAATTAAATCATTCATATACTATTTGACTAAATAGAACATGACAGTTTTCGATCAATTTTTATCCAAATATCCTGTTCTTCACTTGTTTCTGGAAAACCTTTACACACGTGCTTGTGCATCGATCACGCTTCAACGTCTCGACAACATCCGTTCTATGCGCTAACTCTTATCTTGAAGCTTTAGCGGATTAAGTAAACATCTTTTTTAGACCACATACTATGCTTCTATAGTGCTAACGTCAAAACTGTCAATTGACGTGTGACTTAATTTTGTGACTTAATTACGTCCCATTTGGTGTACTGTCACGATTCCACAGCCCAGATTGTATATAAACGAGCTTCATTCGTTTTCTTCTAAGAAAGTTGGGAAGTTAGAAATGACCATGAATCTTCGTAGAACTATCTCACGTTCATTCATTTATGCAATAATACTGCTTTGTCTTTGTATACAGAGAGTAAAGGCGATTTCATCTAATAGAAATGGGACTGTTGGTGAGTTTTTATCTCAGAATTTTAACTGAAGGTGTTAGCCTACATTTTAAAATAAAAAATTAAAGTTCTTGATCCCGATTATTTAGATCTAAAATCTTGTTGAAGATTACTTTCTTTGCTTGTTACATCAAAGTATTTTCATTTTCTGCTGCAGAAAGGAATGTCCGTCTTGTTGACCGTTACGACAATGACATGATCTCTGAAGGATTCGTTCTTGTCTACATCAACGGAACCTGGGGAACCATCTGCAACCTGGCCTGGGGTCGAGCAGACTCTGAGGTCACGTGTTTCGAACTTGGGTTCAGTGGAGCAGTGCTTATCGACCATAGTACATATAAACCGCACCCTGGCAATATTCTCTATGATGTACGATGTGTTGGGAACGAGACGACTATTTTAGATTGTCCGAGTAGCGATGTCGATGAAGGGGGAGACTGTTGGGCTCCAGCGAAAGCCTACGCTTCTTGCACAAATTATACAGGTAAGACAACTTTTTTTTTACCCGTGTCGCGTAATCTTTGCACTGTTTCCTCCGTCATGAAAGAGATAAGAGTAATCTTTTCTTCTTTTTTTTTTATTGCAGAAGGATATTCATAAAATAAATTTAGTGATTTGTTATAAGACCACACCTTCCTCAAGAAGATCTTTTGTGTCATGATAATTATCAATATTCATCATATCAAGGATCAAGGGATGCACAATATAAAAAAACATGGCCCAATCTGAAAAGAAATTGACACAAGTCACTAATTTCATTCTAGCTGGAGATCCCGGTGGTAATTAACATGGGAAATTGCGGAAGCTTACACGTCGATTTGTATAGGACGAGATGACGAGTATTAATTTTAGGGATGTTTTGTTTTAACTTTTTTTAAAATCCAGAATGCTCTAAATTACATTTTGTACATGAGCAAAAAGTGCTCCCAAGACCGTGGTTCAAGGAAAAATTTGTGGAAAATTCGTTTATGTCGTTCATGAAGTCTCTAAATTTGTAACACAAGTTGAACCCATGATCAATATGTGTGCATATAATTTGGCATTATCTCGTTTATATTTTTGAAATTCTCATTCACATTGTTTCATTTCTCGAGCTATACAAAAGTGGAAAATACAGATTAGTTTTTGCAAAGTTAAGGACGAAAGGTGATTCATCTAGACCTTTAGAAAAGCTGAACTAATAATGGTCTTCTCGTGCTAATACCTAATGCCTAGATTACATTTGGCTGCGATTGGTATACGGAACCCGTATCCTGCCCGTATTCCCCTTTCCGTAGCCGCGTGTCGTATTTTGAATTTTTGAAGACAGAAAACCTGCGGTTGCCGTATGGCATTTGAATTGATGACGCACGGTCGTCTTAAGGCTACCCTAGGGCGCCAATAGGGATCCTGCCGCCGTCGCAATTTGTTTGGGTTCTGCAAAAGTCAATTTTAATTCAAAAGACCCTAGGGCAGCCGCATTACAAACGCAAGGCCACCGTAAGCCCGCCGCGTATGGTCGCCGTGGAACCGCTCTACGTCATCGCTACGGCGTCTCTAATTGCTACGGTGAACATATAGATAAAACAAGTTATAACTCCGCGTTATATTCCCACGGCGACCCGTACGGCCTGTACAGATAGGGATACGCCCTAAAGTGAGCCTGAGGCCACCGCAGATTCTCTGTGGCCGCAGCAAATATATCTCGATTTTGGGGGCGTACGGCTGCCGTATCCTAGTCGTAGAGTAAATGTGATCTAGGCATAAACACGTCGAATTGCTGAGTTCAAACAAATCGTCTTCTCGTCTTCTTTTCCTATTAAAGTTATCCGTCATCTCGTCGGCACTCTTAAGCTTCCATACTAAATGCCCCAGTCAGACAGAAGGAAATCATACCAGACCAATAAAAGCTCGAGCAAATATTACATTACTCTAAAAATGATGTCAATCGGTTTAAAAAGGGAATAGCAAACAAGAAGTTTCATCTCTAAAAAATGAAAAATCGTATTCAGGCGATTTAAATCTTTCCTGACAATGATTTATTTCTGTTTTAAAGTTCGCTTGACAGGAGCCCACTTTCCCGGTGAAGGCAGAGTAGAGGTGTTCTACCTAGGATCCTGGAGACCAGTTTGTAGTGACCATTGGGATCTCAGCGATGGACGCGTTGCTTGCAGAGAACTTGGACTTGGTACAGCACTAGACGTCGACCATAGTTTTATTTCTTCTGAGGAAATGGGAGATTATATCTTGAATGATGTGAGATGTAATGGAAGTGAATCTAGGATATTGGACTGTCCAGGATCCACTTTTATCATTGGCAAATGTAACTCTACCCGCAGCGCCAGAGTTCGATGCTCAGATGGAGGTAAGTTGACGTTCTTTGGCTGTAATACTTGCACAGAATGCTATACATCGGAAGGGTGTGTATAATTAGCACTCATTGGTCCGCCGACAGGAGTTATATTTTCATGATATTATGGATAACATAACTTACACATTGCGAACAGTGAGTAGTTGAGTATGTGCAGGGTTGCCCTCACTTGACCACGTAAACGATATTTATAATCATCGAAAAAAGACCGGGAGTTAAATTATACATTTTGATCTTCGCAATCAATATCACTTGATTAGCTGTGAACCAATCACACCTTTTCATATATAAGATATGTGTAATATTCCGCTTTTTACCAATTTCTTACGCCAAAGATTCTCTAAACAGACCGAACAAACATGATCTCATGACACTGAATAGTAAACAATATTGGGTATAGTATGTTTTACCTGCAACCCACCAAATGACTTGTAAAGCAATACAGAAGAAAATGTAGTAAAATTATTGTTTACGAATCTCCATTTTCTTCCACATCATTTTCTGATATGGAAAATGCACTAAGTATTGTAAACAGGCAGCGTTGGTCGCAGTCATGGTAGATGTTATTATTCTCGTTCCGGCAAAGCTGGTCACATGTAGGACCATCTTTTCATCTTTACCCACTAAGAGGACAAGTACTATACAAGTTGGAGTAATTTATATGATGGGGACGTCTTTCTCAAGACTTTCGAGTAATATTTTTGTCTTTTGATTATCATCAACATAAAATGTACGCTTTATTTTTATTTTCATTTTTAATTCATGATCTTTATTCGCTTAAAATTCAAAAGCCCATATGACAAAATTAAAATATAGGAATTCAAATGTCAGAAACAGCTCCATGTTGTTAACCACTGTACTATTAAAAGTAAAGAAAACTTCATAAGTTTGTTGCGGATTTCTTGTTCTCATCCTAGTTCGTCTGGTTGATGGCAGAAATAGCAGCGAAGGAAGAGTGGAATTTTTCTTTAAATCAACCTGGGGTACTGTTTGTACTGAATCTTGGACCTTGAATGATGCGCATGTCGTATGCAAGAGTTTAGGGTTCGCCTGTGCATTAAAAGCTTTTACTGAGCTTGAATTCGGCTATGGTTCAAGCAATGTATATCTTGAGGATGCCCGTTGCACTGGGAGGGAAACAAATATCCTAAACTGTCCAAATGCACAGTTTGGAGTAAGAGACACCTGCCTTTTCGCGGGTGCTGGTGTTTTATGCTCTACTGAAGGTAATTAGCTGATCCTTGTTTCATGGAATTATTTGTTCGATTTAATGGTGGGAAAAAATAGTTAGCCCACAACGAAATGAGAGTCTTAAATATATATACGAACAACATGTCAACTGTTTTTTTTTTATAGTGCAAGCCCGGTAATCCGTTACAAGCTTTAGAAAATTGATTTAAACATCTATTCTCCTTATTTAAAGACTTGAATTCGAATTACTCAACACATTCTCAACAAAGCATGCCTTGCTATCCGACCCTGGTTACAGTTACCTGGTAAATTACACCTCAGTTTCGTGAATATTCAGTCCAGACGTACATAGGTTCAAATGATGTTAAAGAGATAGTTGAGTTTTGTTGCAGAGGGCGCTACACAAAATATTTTTTGTGTGAGATAATGAAAAACCTAGTGTCAAATTTGAAGTAATATACAATTTAGATTTTAATAAAATCATCCTTGTTTGATCAAAATCGGTTCAGAGACGGCTGAAATATCCAAAAATATAATCATTTATAATACTTGTGGTGTCCCAAAATATTCGATAATTTTGAACCAGCCGTTACGTACAACCAGCCGACCCGTGCATTACTATTATTAATTGATTAATTAATTAACGGTCACCGTATTTTTGGGAAAATGGAGTTAATTTGGTATGATATTTTTAATATATATTCACAAATTTTGGGGTCTAAAATAATCTTCATAGCAATTTTTGGTTTTAAAAGGGCACTAGAAACGTGATAAATAAGAATTAGAGCAATAACCATGCACTTTGAAGGCATCTGAGGTCTTTAAAAAAAACTCAACTATCCCTTTGTTTCTTTTACAAATAATACATATTCCACTGGAACTTGTGCATTGAAAGGTTTATAAATTGGAAGTCCAGGACGAAACGGTTCGCCGCCGAAGCCGCTAGTTCGTGACACCGCGTCACTATTTTGCTTCATAGTGTTTCGTCGACTTGCCTCATTAAGCAGGATCTCTTTGCATATTCAGTCCAGGCCTACAAAGGTTTAAATGGTGTTTAAATTAATTATTGTTTAATATGTCTAAGAACATTCTTTTCCACTATATAGAGCATGTGCATTATTAGGTTGATTAATTTCATAAAGTAACATCTTTTCCATCAGTGTTTTTCTTTCATCTTTTAACTTACAGACGAACACATCGATCTGGTTGATAGTTCCAACTTCTTGGATAGTTTAGTCGTGTACTACTACAACGGCCAGCATAGATCTGTCTGCCGTGACTCCTGGGACATGGCCGACGCTCACGTTGTCTGCAGAAGTCTTGAGCTGGGATATGCGGTAATAATTCCTAACTCTGACATATCAGATGGCAGTGGGAATGAAGTTACTCTTGATTGTGTATATTGCTCTGGCAATGAGTCTTCGTTCTTTGATTGTCCTGGAGTGGGTATTGCTTGTGAAAGTAGCTGCAATGATTCTCGAGATGCCAGAGTGATGTGCTCAGGAGGTATGTATGAATTATATCCATCCCATCTATCCCATCTTGTCGCGCAGCACGTCTATTGCTGAAGCGGTATTGCCGAAACACCACAATGACATCACCCTCATTACGTCACAATCAACATTTACTGACCAAACTACTAACTTTGTATCCTTCGTTGCAGGAAACGTCTGTTTAACAAGTTGGTGTAACCTTGGAATGAATTCGCAAGGTATGGGAAAACGTTAACATTTCCGACGTTTCTGCATTATTTAATATATGAAATTTCAAATATCTAACATTTAAATACAGCAATACAATTTGTTAAACTCGTAACCGAAAGAAATACTTTCACAGTATTGATTTTTATTTTGGTGTGTCTTTTCATTGTAATGTGAGAATAAATAACCTTATTATAACTTAAAATGTTGATTTGATGACGAAATAACGAGACATTTAAAAAAAATTATTAAAGTTCTAACGAATCCCTTTTCCACCTGTACTGTTTTTCAAGAAGGTGACTGCCACTCTCTCCTGCAAAGGACTAACGACTCGGAGTCAGGTAAGAAAACTTATGTTGTTTTCCTCCTTATTATTTCGATTTTATTTTTATGTGAAATAAAAGGACAACAAAAAGTCTTTAAAGATAAAGTTGACTTCTGTTCATGCGATTGCATTGTGAAAGAAATGTGAAATGGTTCATAAAAAGTTGATCATGTAGCATGTAAATATTGGTGTGTACTGCAAGGTTCTGGAGTCATCAAATTCATAATAAATTTGGCCCAATCTTGGTAAAGTACTACACAAATGGTGTCGGGCCTACTCACCTTGATTTCCTTATCTTTTTATGCTCATTACTCAGCCAGTAAACATTTTCTACCAAAATTGTTAGGCAAATGACATTTATTTGTAATCCTCTAATATTATACAATAAAGTGACTGTACATAAAAGTCATGTATAATATCAAATATGGATTTACGGGTAGGAAACATGGTAGCAGATTATTTGTTTAAAGCATAGTAGCTTCATTCGTTTCAATATAAAACTCTTATATCTCGCATCCGTGTTCGATCTGTTATTAGGTACATGTGTTCAGTATGCGGTAGAGGATCCCATGCGTACATTATCGGCCTTAAAATGTCTGTAAGTATAATCGTTACTTATAAAAGCATGACTAATAGTGACGTGCTTTATGCTGCTATTCATTCAGGTGCAGTAATATCATGTTTTGGGGTTGCCTTATTAATTAAAGTTGATGTGAAATGTATGAAATTGAAAAGAAAAAAAACTATGCCGAAGTCACCATACGGAACGATGAGACCTCCTATTTCTGAGAGATTTTTTTGAAAGAGGTGTAAAGGTGGTTGATATATATATACCAGTCTGTAGGATCTATTCCTTGAATGCACTGAGTGCTTTGGTTGCCAGATGGCTGAGATAAATATCTCTTATCCAATGGATTTATCACAGTAATTATATATTCGTTCATTTATCTATATGAAATACATGTATTAGCTTTTAATACCCCCGGAAAGCAACTTCTTGTTCTTATTTTTCTTCCTAAGGACCTCAACAGAGATTGAGTTGTTTGGTTCTCTCTTTGGAAAAATATTACAGTGCCAGAAGGAACGAAAATATATGTGAGTTTAGTATTATAATGATGTTCTCATATCGACGGTACTCTGGACATACACATCTGCCTAAAGCGCATCGCAAACTACTAGTATACGACCTGACTACGATACGAATTTTGAAAAAATTGCAAAAGCATTTGATACAAACTTACAAAAATGTTAGATCTTAAAGATCGTGGATTTGGATAAGATATAAATATGAAGAAATTTCATGCTTCCTTGGAAGAGGAAAACGTAAATCGTCTCACAATCGTGGTGATGTCAGACCAGTAGTGCAATTACAAATTGAAACCGATTCGGTTTTTGTCCTGACTAGAAGAGTTCAATGCTTCTAAATTCCTGTGTATTCTTCTCATTATCTAGAATCTTAATCAGGAAGATGACATTTCTTAAGATTTCCTTTTTAATCAAATTCCAATTTATTCGAAATTCGGATTGCTAGACGATCGTGCAGTTGGCTTTGGAAAAGGGACATGAATAACTGTGCGCGTCAATCCACCAATGTGTAACCACTGAGCTCCGTGTATACACGAAGCAGCACATTACACTTATTTATTGTGTTTTAAAAAAGATCGCCAGGTTTTACAAAGGCATATTTGAAAGAGGCTTAACAGACTTTATTTAAATTATTCTTGAAATTTCTATTTTCCACATCATTAGGTATACTTCATATTCAGATATATTTCATGATTTATTTTTGTAAAAATCGTACATAAATAATGAACACAATATTATTTAGGTTTCTTTTTGGAGTGGAGTGGTACAAAAATAAAATGCACCTTGTGTTAATGTCGATGCAGCATTCTCTTGAGTCAAGGCATCTCGTCATTGGGACAGCAAACGTTCTCTGGAATGGAAAGCTTGAAAGTCTTGTAAGTTTGCATGCGAACGTGTATGCATTTGTAACAATGCTTCTTTTATTATGTTTTTGCTTTTTTCGTTTTTTTTTTTTATTCTTTGTTACCCCTAAGTTTGAAGTTAAATGAAGCGATGCTTTACCAGATATTGTATTCGTCAACGGTACAGTAGTAAAACAAATATATATGGCATATTATAGAACCCCTGGGCTCCGTGCACGCCCTTTTCTATGGAAGCATGTACATATGCGTCGACTAGTCTACCAAACATGTAGTTTTTACGTTCATTGGCAGTAAATTTGAACTAGCAGTATCTCACTACATGTCTAAAGCTCATATTTTGGATTTAGTATATAGATAAGGAACCCTAATATATACGATAACATATTTGTCTCTGATTGGTACATTTTTAATTTTCTCACGTAACCAATGCGTTGTTTAATGTGATTTCTAATACCAGGTCACTCGGTAACAACACGATTGAGCATATCCCGGCGGGAACTTTCGATGGGCTACAGAATCTTGAATTTTTGTAAGTATGCTAAGAATGACCGGAAAAACTAGTCTATTGTTGACCCAGTTTCCAACAAAAAATACAAATCAATTATAAACATATTGAGCTTAGAGGGTCCGCAAGAGAGGAAAATGAAAATCGTCCAAAATTCTTGTTGGATCATTATGAACTGAGCTTTTAACTAAAAAAAAAATTCTTGAAAAACAGATAACAACATATTATAACAATAAAGAGTCTGTATGGGAGCGAAAGGGGGAATTACAAATAATATTTGTGATACGTTCACCACTAAGCTACCTTTGAATGTTACCTTCTTCTTCTTCGTTTAGTATTATAATGGCTATTTGGTTTTATAATACCAATACCGTATGCTGCCTTTAAAGGACAAACACACGACCAAATATTTAAAAGAAAGCTTTATTACTCAATAGCAATCACTGAATTGAACAAATTCCTCAACTAGAAATTATTAAAACCCTGTATTACAATATAGCGCTCATGTTTGTTTGTTTGTTTGTTTGATTGACTGCTAAGAATGTATTTTTATGCTTGTAAGTAAGCATTGGCAAGTTCATTGGCAATAAATTTTAACTTGCAGTATCTCATTATATAAGTAATATTTAAAGATTATATTTTGGATTTAGTATATATATATATATGGAACCTCTAATATGTACGATAACATTTTTCTGTGATTGGTACAACTCACATTATCTCACGTATCCAATGCGTTGTTTAACGTGATTACTCATACCAGGTCACTTGGTAAAAACACGATTGAGCAAATCCCAGAGGGAGCCTTCGATGGGCTACACAATCTTGAATTTTTGTAAGTATATTAAGAATGACAGGAAAAAATAGTCCATTGATGACCCGGTAGGAGATGATTTTGTTCGACTTGAAGAATGTACTCCTTTTAAACCCCCAATATTCTATATTTTGTAATTTTAATATCGAGTATGCTGAGAGAAGAGATGTATTCATCCCTTTGATGTACGATTCTTGGGCACAGCCATTTTCTGGATAATGTGACGTACCAGGAGAACTTGTATATCTATCATGCACCACACTTTAGTTTAAAAAACTCATTGTAACTCATTTATTTTGAAATACTAAAATAAAGCAGTTTAGTATTCTATTTATTCGAAACCTTCACCTTGGAATAGCACCAACTTGTCCATGCAATATTTCGTTCTGACAATGGAAGCAGAAAGGGTAATAGCAGATGTCAGCCTAACCGCAGGCGGAGATCGGCCCTGTATTATAGAGGGGATTTATTCATAAGGCCCTCTAGCGTTTTTAACGTGGAAAATGAATTATTTACAAGATTCATACAATTATTATTCTTACATATTAAGTAACTCCAGATATTGACTATGATATTGCAAAAAACGGAGCGCAAAAAAGTGATAAAATGAAGAGGATATCGTCGTTTGAAAATGTGCCTTCTCGGAGAGCTCTATACGGTACGGGTCAAACCGGTCCGAGTATTCAATGGAATAGAGACGTGTTGTTGCCCGCCTGCCGTTAGGCTGGGTTTGATGAGTTTTTGACATTGTGGTTGGGGTAGATTTTGCTGAATCCTGACCCATATTAAAACATTTACACCCCCATGTTTATATTTTCGGAAAGAGGAATAAATTGCGATTCTTTACGTTAGATTTTCATTTGGGGCCCAAAATAAAACTATGTGTCAAAATTCGAGATGTTTTTAAAGTTTTTATCTTTGTATAAAAAAAAACATTTTTAATGTGGAAATTGAATTATTTACAGGATTCTTATGATGAATATTTGTGAATATCAATGAACTCCAGATATTTACTATGATATTGCAAAAACAGAGCGCAAAAGGGTGATAAATTAGAGGAGATATCGTCGTTTGAAAATGTGCCTTCTCCAAGAGCTTTACGGCGCGATTCAAACCGGTCCGAGTACGCCGTATTAATGTACTAGACGTGATTTTGCACGCCTGCCGTTAGGCTGGTGTATGAAATATTTCATTACCACACTCACATGGGAAGGAAGTATCCATAAATTTGAATACGAAAACCAGTATGGGAAGACCGGTCACTCAAAGATTTGTTTTACTTTTTGAGGCATTTCTTGATCATTTTGAAGCGCAATTTTGTTAGGGCTTCAATATTACCAAATATCTAAAGAAAAAAGAAGCTGTAATACTCAATATCAATCACTTAATTGAATAAATTCCTCGACTTAATATTAACTAAAACCCTGTATAACAATATAGCGCTCATGTTTGTTGGTTTGTTTGTTTGCTTGTATGTAAGCAACCAAGGGACCGAAGACTAATAGCCCTCTCTGGCGCTCAGTTAATATTTGCCTTAGCCAAAAAATTAAGGAATCGATTCCTTTCAGGTATTTACCCCTCTTGGTGATGTATCTAATGATATTATTTAATTTTTTTTCCTTCAAAATATTGATCTTTGAAATGCAGGGATATGTCATTCAATCGTATCCACTCAATTCCTCCAAAGATTCTTACCAATATGCCGAGACTGAAAACTTTGTGAGTACTTGTAGGTCTGTTTCAAGACGAGAATAACTGTCAAATATGTATGAGTACTCTCCAACTAATTGAGTAATCATGGTAATGGTGATATCATATGAGATTAGTAAAATTCAAGATATTTGCTCACTTCTTTTATCTCGTAAATACTATTATTTTTTTTCTCCCTATGTAACTATGATTCTATTTTGTACTTAAATTTCTGTAAATATGTTCATTTATTATAACTTGAATATTTGTTTGTAAATTGTATTTTCATTGTTTTATATTCTATTTTAATTATATGTAATCACGGCCTCGCTGAAAAACAGCTTTTGCTGAATGCGGGCACAATTACTATACTTGTTTTTAACCGTGAATAAAAAAAAATATACCATACCTTACCATACCAAATACACAAATTTAAAGTATCATAACGACATGATTTGACATGGTTATCTGACCATTCTCTTAAATGTCGACTTCTCCAAAAAATACATATTACTAACAAATTAAAGTAATGTTTACCCTGCCTGTTTTGTTTTTGCTGAACTCCAGATCAAACTCTGTCTTAGCTGTAGGAGCAAACGTGCACACCTTGTTTAATCAGAATATTCATAATATTCCAAACAAACGTATTAAGTTCATGATAACACGAATCTTCTCTCACAAAATGGGTGATGATGTAAACACCAGAATAAAATATGTTTTAGCGCTGTTGTATTCAGTGTATATGTTTTGGTTGCAAACAGTCATTTTCGAGCGGTAAAAATATTCTTCCTTCATAAATATTGTTATTTGGTGCAAATTTCTACAACGTTATTTCTTCTCCTGTGTTACTTTTGTTTGTCTGTGTGGGCATGTGTATGGGTCTATATGTGTGAGGTGTGTTTGTGAGTGTGCGGTATTGGTATGTACGTTGATTATGTGTATTTATGATAATGCAGGAACATCGGGAACAACAACATCATACGTGTTCATAGTGGAGCATTTCATGGATTACCATCACTCGAAAATCTGTGAGTAAAATGATTTTTAAAAAAAATCAAGAATGTGATTTATTGTATTGTAATGCACCTGTTTATCTAAGTCAAAAACTCACAATCAGTAAAAACAGACTGATTTACAGCGAGTCCGTGCACATTGTTACACACTATCACTGACAAATTAATATAGAACAAATTAAAATATCTACAAATAAATCTTTGAATAAAAATGAGATAAAACAAAAATCTAATTGTTGAGAATATTACGAAACTTACAATATGTACACAGCCCCCTCCATTGATTGAACATATTGAGGGAGTAAGATTGAGACTTTCATTATCGAAAGTGATTGCATGACGAATTTCATGTCAGGCAACGGCTTATAACCAAATTCTCATGTTAGCTTGATTGTGGCAGGAAAAAAAGTGGGACATTTTGGAAAGTACTGCATGTGATCCTTTTTTAAGTTATATTTATTCCATGTAAGGCAATCGGTTGGAGAAAGCTCTCTAATGTGAGTTACAAGTAGCCCTACTTGATATTTTACAAAGCCAAATAAAGATTCTGATTTAGATTTATGCTGTCACTTTTTTCAAATACAAGTGTATAACATAAACAACATGACAAAACACATTCCTGATAAAAGAAATTGTTTGACGTAAATTCCACTGAATAAAAATTGGACATTAAGAAGTAAACAATGTATGATGCATACATCAGCTTTCATGAGCTTCATGATAATTGATTGATATCTTTTGTTAAGTACAGCATGTTTAAAAGCTATGGTGCAAAAAAAGAATGGCGCAATAATTTTCTTCCATCACATAATACCATAACAAACGTTAATTTTCTTTGAAAGTGAGAGTGTATTAAACGTTTTTTTTTTTACATCTTTCATCCTTCTTTCTTCAATATCTGAACCAGGTATCTTGATCACAATAATATTACAGCAATACCAGATGATGTGTTCTCCGGTAGTTTATTTGTCTTGTGAGTATGGACATGTTTTGCTTTAAAAATCAATTAAAACTCCGATTGAGGGGATATCAGTCCTTGAATAGTTAGACTATATGTAATTTCATTCATTATTCATGATTGAGGTATCTTTTATGATTTTTAATCTACATGTACATTCATTTGCATGTAATTATCTTTCGACAACGTGAATTATGAAAGTAACGAAAATTAATGTGCACGTTTATCCTTTTCACTTATGGAGTGAGGTAATTATTTCAAAATACATAATACCAACCTTTTGAAAAAGTTATGCATGAGTAGTATACAGTGTTTCGGATATGAAATATATTAACTTTATCATTTGGGCAAGTCCACTAATGAAGTTTGGATCAGACCTTATATGAAGGGAATTAATACCTTAAATGATAGTTTTGTTATTGGTTCCAAGATACTTGGTAACGTATGAAACATAAAATGACCCCAATACTTTTGATGTATTAAAGAACATAAAGCACATAACTTCTGGGAGAACGTTCTTCCCATTGGTTGCCAGAGAGGTATGGAATGGCCACCCATCCTTTATACAAGCTACTTATCTTAGCAAACGTGGACTCTTTTACAAAATAAAGCACTTAAAAAGACGCATCACTTCGATTTAATGAACTAGCCGTTCTCTTATAAAGTGGTTATTGACTGAACACTACAAATTAATACTTCTTAAATCATTTAATATTGTTTTCATTGTGCATGAACATACTAAGCTCAGCGGTCATGCGGACCTCAAAAACTGATATATATGTCTCTTATTTTGGAGCAGGCGCCATTAGCACCTGAGCTAGCGGATACCGACCCTATATAAGACATCATTATTATAAATCCCTTTACATGTGCTTGCTGTGTCTGTCCTACAGATGGATCAATGACAATAACATTCGCGAACTGAATTACGGAGCTATGAGAGGATTGTCTAGCATTACACGCTTGTAAGTTTACGATTTAAACTTTGCATGCTTTTAACATGGTTCAACTCAACCATAAATTATAGCTTCTATTTCTGTTATTCGAATGTCCTCACCAAGCAGCTAAAATATCAAAAACATCCCTCTTCTGAGGGTTTGTGTTATTTTTTTCTATGAATGCAAATTAATGTATCTCTGAAAGCTTTAGAAATAAATTGATCTTCTTTTAGGAAAGAAACAAACGGTTTCAATAAGAATAATTTGAACGGAAAACAAAATTATGTCTGAAACCTTACGAAAATTGTTCCTCATCCTGCCTTTTTACAGAATGTAGGCCTACATATTTTTTTCAATAGGAGCAACGTCGATCTGGCGCTGCTCAGTGGCTGCCGGGCTCACGATCAATTGGGCAAAAAGAATTTCCGTTTCGGTTTAATAAAATTTGGAGTGGACTATTAGGCTATTATTATTATTATAAATCAATTCCTACCGTAGTCTGAATATTAAACCGTAAAAATCATAAATATCATAATCTCAAAAGGAATGAATTCAAAGGCATTTCACTGAATTGTAATCCCCTATGTATAAATGATCACTATGGAACAATTTTTTTCCAACCTGTATTTAATTTTTGTTTAATGCCCACTGTTTACTCGACCGATTGGTATATAACAGAGAATGATTAAATGTTATATCATCTAGATACCTGGAGAACAACCACATACAAAAAATAGACAATGGATCATTTGATGGAGTTCAAATCCAACGCATGTAAGTTCAGGGGATTGAAATCTCTCGACCGAATAACAATAATGATGATGATAATAATAATCATAATAAAAATTATAGTAGTAATAATAATGATAATAATGGTAACGATAATGATAATAATGATGAATATAAACATAATAATAATTACAGTTGTCAATAGATAATAATAATAATGATAACAAATAATGATACTTATAATAATACTGATAGTTATTAGAATGATAATGGTAATCATAATGAGAATAAAAATATAAATGATAATAATAATAATGGCGTAATACTTCTTCTACTACTACTGCTAATAATAATCATTGTTTTTATATAGCAGTATATATCATATCGAAGACTGATCAATGCTCTTTATTACAGAACATATTATTCAATACATGACAACTTGCAAAATATACTTTAAATATAACGCAGCAACTACAACGTAAGTACATACGTTCAAACATACTTTTTAAATGATTCAACAGAGGCACGAGAACGACATTCACCCCCAAAAACATATTAACTGGCAACAGGAAGGAAAACTACGTTCTCCTATGTTTGACATTTGAAGTTACTCTAGGCAATTAGAGCCCCTTGTATCTGTAGTTGAACGAATCCTCTATGGGTTACTGACTTCGAAATTGTATTCAGGAATACAAATATCAAATTTGTGGTAATTAAACTTTTAAAGTGAGCTAAATTCGTAATACTAATATTGTAGAAAAAATGTGAATCTCAAAGTCATAACCATTTATCCTTACTAATGCCTGGATTACATTTGGCCTGCGATAAGTCTACGGAGCCCGTATCCTGCTCGTATCTCTTTTTCCATGCGGCCTCTGTGCGGTGGCAGACGGCGGCCGTGAGATTTTCGTACGGATTCACGGGCTCCGCAGCCTTTACGATTTTGTTTCGCGAGAAGTTAAACAAATTTGAAAAAAATCGTAAGCCCGTAGCCCGTATACATGTCGTAGGTGGCATTGCACAATCCCCGCACGGGCATCGCCCGGAGGCCTCGCACTGATTGTGCAGCAAACGTACGATTTTTCGGTGAACATGGGGGCAAAGAAAATCGTACGGAGATTGTAGACTCATGGGGCATTCGCACGGCAATTGCACAGCTATTGCAAGGTTGCTGTACGGTCACCGCGCCTTCTCCGCGCAACCTTTGCACGGAAGCTCCACGGGCTCCGTATGAATTCCGTGCGGAGGCTGCGGAGACTGCACGGCTACTGCATGCAAATGCACGATTTCCGTACAATCTCCGAGCAGCCTCTGTACGGATTTGCCCCGGCCTGCCCCCGAGGGCCAATACAATAAATGGCACGATGCTCGTAGATAATGTAAACACAAACATCGTAGCCCGTAGCCTCCTACGATGTCTACGAAAAATCGTAGACTAATTTATCGTACGGCGCCCGGGGCAAATGTAATCCAGGCATAACTTACACTATAATTTTGAAATTTGTTATCCAATGTATGACTACGAAAACTTGTGTCTGATCTTTGGATGGAATTGTTCTCAAACTAACTGTGTTGTGATTGTGATGCTAAACTTCATAACATTTTCACTTAAGTGTCAGAGACCCACTTATTATATTTTTTTCTCTTCTTCTGTTATTCGTGTCGTGTTTTATTCTACAGATCTCTTGAAAACAACAATCTCGTTACCATCAACGGATTTCTCCATGGATTACCTGAACTTGTGACACTGTAAGTAATAGGTAGCTTATCATAAATGTATTGCCCGTGGCTTAGCATGGTTGTCATTATGTGTGCGTGTGTGTCGGGAGGCGAGGGGGGCTGGGGGTAGTCGGCCAAGATTTGCTGACTAAATTCTAACTCGTGTCGTGGGCAACAAATATAATGTCAAAAATACATTCACTATACAAAGATATTTACACAATGCTGGCATAATTGTGATGGTGATAATAGCAAACTGAATAATAATGGATTTAGAGTGTCCGTTGTTTATCCATTTTCCTCTTTTCTGTAAATATAGACATATATAAACTATTTCTACCCATATATCAACTTTAGAGTATATATTTTTGCAATCGAAGCGATCTGTCAAAAACTGATATATTTTAGTGAATTCTCAACAAAAAAAACTCCCCTGAATAAATTGAGGCAAATTAGAAAGCTGTACGATTTGAAAAGACAAAAAATCAACCTGTGGAGATAAATTAGCTTTCTGTGACTTGTTAGGTATGTTGCTATTTAGATGAAGTAGCACATACTTATAATAAACAGGTTTCTGTATGGTAAATTTGATCTAATTTGAAATTATAAATGGGTTTTATGCTTTAAAAAGGAAAGTCTTGTTCTGGTCATTTCCAAGCGTTACGGAATGACGATTCCAGATCATATCAATATGTTGTAGACTTTTATCAAACTCGTCTATGTCATTCCTTTTTCCAAATTAAAAAAAATTATGTGGAAATGTCATTCCGTAACGCTTGGAATTTACCTTCTCATAATAGTACTCTCCTAGGATATCATAATCATTACTGCAAAGAATAATCTTTTTACTCCTCCTGGCAGAAACCTCTCCCGTAATAATATCAAACACATTGGCAGCGGAGACTTCAAGGACCAGACTAGCCTGTTAGTTCTGTAAGTTAACTGTATCTGATTTTTTGCTTTGTCGCCTATGTATTGTTATGTATCCGCTTTCAAAACTAAACAACTAACAATCATAGGAATTGAGAGAGGCTGATCGTTCGTTCGTTCGTTCGTGCAAAGAATATCAGGGAGTACATCATCTAGATAGGAAGATCCTTATTGAGCCAACAGAGAGGCTGATAAAGTTCTATGATAATTGAGTCACCTTGTCTTGATACTATTAGATGCTTTGGTAATACATGTATCAAATAACCATAAGCTTAAAATGGCACTTTACGTAACTCGTCCAACACACGGTAACCCTTTACAAGATACTGGACCAATTACTGATGCAGAAATCAAAATGACTCATCGATTAGACCTCAATGAAATACACTGTTCCCCCTAAACTTATTATATATTATAATTACTTCATACCTTATTTTCATGAATTGATTGTAACATTATGATTTATTATTGATAGAGTAATATTTACATCCTCTTGTATTTATATTTATCAATCTAACGAGTGATAGAACTTGATCAATAAACCTGTAGCAAAAGTTCTAAATAACCGAATGGCAGAATATCATAGTTGTTTTGTGTCTCTACTCTATCGGATTTGCGGTAGTGTTAATTGTATCAAGACTAAATGATTTTTTGTTTGGTTCTTGTCATCCACAGCGATTTGAGCAACAATCCAATAATTTACATTGATCCTGATGTATTCGATTATGCGATAAGTCTAGAATACATGTAAGTAGCACCGTGAATTTTTTAATGGTTTCTGATGTAGGCATAGTTTTATCACACACGGCAATACACAGTCAGACAGATGTTATTTTAATAATATATCACTGGGTTTGCATTTAATACCCATCATTCATTTTACCTTGACTTGTAATACAACCACGCTTTATAAATGACATAAAAGGACAAATTCGTTTTTTACTATATATATATATATATATATATATATATATATATACACGGATGTGCATTTGGAACCTAATCATGAAATGTAACATAGATATTTTAAATAATGCTCATTTAATATGCCCTAGGTCATATTGATGAATTATCCAGAATGAAAAGGTATTCAATACAAATCTACACCAATGTAGACATTTCTTAAAAAGCTGGAAAATTGAGATTTTGTATTCATTAATTGCGTTATTTTATGTCATTTATACAACAACTGAAGTTTGCTACTGGACATCGATCTACAGTCCATCCACGAAGACGTACTTACTGGTCTTACTTCGTTGAAAATCATGTAAGTAGATAATAAGCTTCAGGAGATAGTTGAGTTCTGTGTTCAGACCACAAATTCCTTCAAAGTGCATGGTTATTGCTTTTATTTTTATCTATGACATTTCTAGTGCCCTTATAGGACCTAAAATTGCTATGAAGGTAATTTTAGACCCCAAAATGTGTGAAATTAAGGCAATACGATTATACCAATTCAGCTCCACTGTCAACAAAATTCGGTGACAGTTAATTGATTAATTAATTAATAATAACAATACATGGGCCTCTATGCTGTGCGTAATATAATCAACACGCAAAAGGAAGCAAAGAAGCCAACATCGGTTTTGGCTGAAATACAACGTAAAAGGCGCTATTTCGTTTTTCTCAACGGCTGGTTCAAATTATCGAATACTTGTGCTGGTACACAAATATTAGAAATCGTAATGTTTATGGATATTTTAGCCGTCACTGAACCGATTTTGATCAAACAAAGATTATTTTGTCATTTAAATTTTATGCTCTTTCAAATTCGACACTCAGTTTTTCATTATAACACAACAAATTATTTTGTGTTGCGCCCTATGCAACAAAACTCCACTATCCGTATGAAGTGTGTTAAAGATTTGATGGGCTAAATACAGAAGGAACAGTTACATCAGAATGAAAAAAACGTAGTGCAAATCGGGAGGGGGGGAGGGGGTAGGGAATTTAAAAGGCACTGACGTACCACTACAAATGTTGTTTTAAAATGAAGAGTCAAAATTCGGTTGCCCCTCGGTTTAACTATTTTCAGGTATTAATTTTCTTCTTCAATTTTTTTTTAAAAGTTTTGAAATTACTTTTTATAATCTTGCTTAGATAGAGCAACAGGAAAATCAAAATGAATAGTGATGCTTTTTATCATAATTCGAAGAGATACACAATATCAGAATGTTGTTTTATGTATTCTGTTTCAGATCTACTTCTGACAACAGACTCTGTTGTCTTCTTGAGCAAAAAGAGAACGTAACTTGCGTCAGGACAACTTCCACAAGTCCTCTAGAAACCTGTGGAAGGCTTTTTCCGAGTGTCGTGCTACGAGTCGCTGGTTGGATCATAGGACTTTGCTCTCTACTCGGCAACATCTTTGTCTTAGTTCTCCGATTTCGTCATGAAACG